AGGAGCAATCTGCCTTTTGTAGTTTTGTAAAAACGGTGTACTTTTAAACCTTGATTTTTCTCGGATACTGATCATAATGTTGAACCATTTTGACAGACAGTTTTATTTTTCCAATATTTGTCATTATAATTCATAATTTTTAGATAATTTACGGATGTTGTATGTGTTTTCTCAATAAGATTTCATTCACGATCCAATCGCAATACTTGACCACAGTTACTTATTCTTTCGCGATAATTTTTCTAAATATACCGAACGACAGCCGTGCCATTGTTATATTTACGAATACTTATGGCGGAGTACTGTACATATTCTAAGTCAGGAACATCGTTTATTGGTGTCGTTATAGATATATGTTACCATTTGTTGTCTGGAGGGGATTTGACGCCAAATCTTTGAACGTTAAATACATGTTTATAATATACTATGTGGTACGGGTTTTGCTCATTGTTGAAGGCCGTACGGTGGCCTTTAGTTATTAATTTCTCTGTCATTTGTCTCTGGTGGAGAGTTGTCTCATTAGCAATCGTACACCATCTTATTTTTGTATCGCGTGATATATGTGTATTTCTTCATTAATTAGTTTTTTTTTTTTTATTCAGTCTCGCTTACGATGATTAAATTTGTTATGAAATTTTCTCGTACGGCAGTAAAACCTTGCTTAAGTACACTCTGGATTGCTGTGCGGGATGTATTTATAGGCAGTCGAGTTATGTCGGAATGGTGACTTTTAATCAGATACCTAGTGTGTGCTACAAGAATGAGTAAATATTCATGCATATTAAGGATTAAAATAATTAACAATCTATACAGTATATAGGTACTACAAGGTAGGTCTACAGAGACGAAGAGCTGGTTTGGACTGCTGCAGGAAAATGCGGTCTTCGTTAGTGTTTTAGCAAAGGAATACTGTTTGTCTTTGGGAAAATTAAAGGCAGTAAAAATTGTTAAAATTAGTGGATATGTGTGATCTATCAAAGATTTTAAATTTCACACGAGGGTTGAAAAACAGATACTGTAATGCTTCACAAATAAATGAGGGTTCCCAAACAACTTTTCTTTGATAATTCAAGTCCTTCTTTTTCAATCTACTGAAATGGTTCTTGGGGTAAAAGTGTATCCTTTGTTGGTGACATCGCACTATTGAGGACATTAGTCAAGCTCTGGCATAAATAATAACATTAACAATGCCAATTTTACTTCACCAGATGATTATTTCGACAATAAATGTCGCTTCAGTGTACTGAAACTCAAAATATCTGAAAATCCTAAATTCCTTACAAACTATGTAGAGCTGATGTAACAGAAGAGCTAAACCCGGACAAGCAATCAGAGCCATGCACGAGGGAGATATTCTTTAATTTAAATTGATTTTCTAAGATTTATACCAGTAAGTTTCAATAGAACAATGTCCGTATTTTTATGTCAGTACAGAAGTACTTGTCTGGTGATACACTCGGAGACTAACAGTCAACAACCAGAGGTATCGACCCTGTTTTCGTGATAATATTAATGGTACCAATTATACCGCACCAGATTCAAAATATTTGAAAAACCAAAACTTAACACAAACTTTGAAGAGCTGATGTAAACTTGCATATACTTATCCAGGGAGATATATAAATCCCACAAACTGATGTAAACTTACATATACTTATCCAGGGAGATATATAAGTCCCACAAACAAAACACAAATCACTACACAGAAAACTAAATAACAAAAGATTTATTAAACCATACCCCAAAATAAATCAGGGGTAAACTATGGTGGTCAGGAAAGGTCTGGGGTTCATGCTCCACTAGCGACACCCGTCATGTTACTGATCACAGGTAAAACTCGTTGATAAGTCGCATACAGTGCTATCACAATCAAAGATAAAGGATGGCAGTACAGCTACATTAAGTGGAACATATCAGTGGCAATCAGTGACACAAATATCCTGTACATGTTGAACAAATCATGACAACGTCCATAAAAGCGGACGACTTCAACTTACATTTGGCACCTTTTGCTCAGTAGCTTTCTTATATGCAGAACCCATCCCATATGAAAACTTTTGAGTCAATAATTTTCTATTAAGCAGAAACCCTTTATCAATTTAATCATGATAGGAAACTCCAGGCCTGGAATATCGTATTAACCTCAATATGCAGGCATTGTTGGAATATTGCTACTCATAAATAGAAAGTCGATATGTTCAAATAGTCATTGCCAAAGTCACGTCTTCTCCTCGATTGTGACATCGGTATTCTCTACCTCAATTTGACAATGCAAACGATCCTTATTGTCAATTCCTAGGGTAAAGTCGGGATATGATGCAAAAATGACAGTATATTATGTATATGTGGTATCCTTTCTTTTAAGTTCAATAGAATAAATCAATCAACATAGTTAACCAACTTTGAATTATTCAGTGAAAGGACATCATATATAGAGTGTGGTTTTTATTTGTTTGTGTTTTAGAGTCACTTTCAGATGCCTTGTTTATATCATGGTGACCAGCTTTTATTGGTGGAGAAAGCTGTTGTACCAAAAGCGAACCATCAAACTTTGACAGGAAAAATTTAAACTCACAACCTCAGAGATGAGAGCCTAGTGATCACTGTAGATAAACAACTTAAGACCAGATTGATTGATTGATTGATTGATTGATGTTTAACGCCACTTTCAACACTATTGTGCTATTTTGTGGCGGCCAGTTTTGTATTGGTGGAGGGAGCCGGAGTGCTCGGAGAGAACCACAGACCTTCGGTAGGAGAACTAACAATCCTAGTCAATTAAAATTGGAGTCAAGTGCACCTGCCCCGTGCGGGATTCGAACTTACAACCTCAGTATTGACTAGCTAGTTATACAGTAGTTTGACTACTTAGACCACCCGGCCACAGAGGCCTCACTTAGACCAGGAGGTCCCTTCATCTGTAAAATTAAATGTAAATGCCATCTGCATTTTTTTTTAATAAGCTCAATTTTGAAATCTGCCTCAAAAGAAAATAGGATTTAGTTGGAAAGAAGAGCACATTTAATTCCCATAGGCATCCAGATATTCTGTTAAAAACATGTCCTCCATGTTTCTTTTGGGTTTTTTTAAACCACATCTGACCCAAACCACCCTAAGAGTATTGTATTTACACAGTACTTCTGAAGCCTGGTTTTGATTGCTGATGAAATAGATGTTTATCATTTGAAAAACGGCATGTGAAGTATTTGGCAGACACAGCATTGTATAACATTGTTTGTAAGAATCCAAAAGTAATTTTGGTATCAGTAGATTTTAAGGAGTATCCAATTTTTCCTCTTTGGTTGAAATTCAAAAGAAGAATAAAACAGACCTATGATTGTTAAGGATTTCTTCTCAAGTAAGTGTTGTAGGAGTATATGCTGGGTTTCCAAGTTAATTGTCAATTTCTAATTCCTTTATCAAGCAGCCAATATAATGTCATTTACAACAGTGATCCAGCTAGGATTTCAAAAGGGCAGGGAGCCAATCATGAAAAGGGCTCTTTAGCACGCTGATTGATAATTCAAAAAGGGCATGTCAAACATTGTCTTTTATTATGTAAACAGCAGGGTTTAGGCTAGGATTTTGAGGGCTTTAACGAGAGATGAAAATCAACCTTGTTTTGAATAACAGCAAGGGACCATGGACGTATATTACTAAAATATAAATATTAGACCAAGCATCCGGAAATCTAGTTCACAATTTCACTTCAGTTATTTTCAGGGAACATTCCTGATCTGATCAAAAGTTGGGTTCCTCTTTTTTTAAAAACCAGGAATCACAGCATAAATGAAATTGTAACAACTATTCACTGCATAATCATTATCCCTGTAAAAACGTTTAAATCGATATTTGGAATTCATTTTTAAAAACTACTTGGAACGATTATAATGACTGTATATTTTAAATTTATCAAGAATAGTAACAAATTAAACAAAAAGGATAATGTTTGGTGCTTTATCTACAATGATAACAGGTTTGTCGTGGAAGTAGGATAAGAACTTAGCAACACTTTGTAGATAGATGTAGCATGAGTGTTGATAAAACATTTCCAATTGTGTAAAATCATTCCAAAAATATTTCACTCGTATTTAAGGCACAGGATTTACAGGAAATTACCTATTTGCAAATAAATTGAATTCTTAAACAAATGAAGAGCCTTCAAGCTGGTTTTTTTCATTAATAAGAATACCTGAAAACAAAAAGACATTGCACTGATCATAGATGATAAAATTGAGAATGGAAATGGGGAATGTATCAAAGAGACAACAACCCGACCAAAGAGCAGAAAACAGCCCAAGGCCACCAATGGGTCTTCAACACAGCGAGAAAATCCCGCACCCGGAGGCGGGCTTCAACTGGCCCTTAAACAAAAATGTGTACTAGTTCAGTGAAAATGGACGTCACACTAAGGGAGCTACCATTTGATTTTTATGGGGGGGGGCTAGGATGAAAAATTTTGTCCTGCCTTTTTTTTAAGTTGTAATCTCTGTCCTGCCTTTTTATTTTTCACTCTATGCGGTCCTGCCTTTTTATTAGTTTATCCTGACTTTTTTTACATAAATTGTCATCCTGCCTTTTTTCAAATTTCATCCTAGCCCCCCCCCCTCCCCCATACAAATCAAATGGTAGCTCCTTAAACTCCAAAACATATAAATCAACTAAAATTTAAAAAACATACAAGACTAACAAAGGCCAGAGGCTCCTGATATGGGACAGGCGCAAAAATGCGGCAGGGTTAAACATGTTTTGTGAGATCTCAACCCTCCCCCTATACCTCTAGCCAATGTAGAATAAACAAACACACGGCAATAGGCACAGTAAAACTCAGCTTAAAAGCAGTCCAAGTACGATGTCAGAATGATGTCTATTCATTCATCATTGATCTGAAAAAAAATCTGACTAAATCCCATTGCTATAGATATATGTCCTGTATAATTTGGTTATATGTGATTCTTCACATGAAAAGGAAAGGATGTATAAAATGCAAAATACTATAATCACATTATATATGTTTATTGTTCGTCTATTTTTGTCTTCTTGTTTGTTGATATCTGTTCTATTTGTATATCTGTATCTGATTTTCTTTTCTGTTTTGGAGACTGGGCACTGCAAAAACAAATGTATAAGTTATTTACAAGTAGTGGTTATACTATTCATATAATTCTAATAATAGCTGCAATAAATTGTATATGAGATATAATACACCACACTCAAGGTGTTTTAATGAAAATGTCATCAATGATCCAAGGCTTATAATTTAGTACAGAAGTCTGTAACCAATTTATACAAACAAATAATCTTCATGGAAATGAGATACACCAATGCTAATATAACTACATACCAAATATCATTTACCTACCAACAGATGATCCTCTTAAATCAACTTAATTTCAAACTTAAACATGTTAACTATTCAAAAGTTTCAAAGTGAATGGACCATGACTGATAGGACAAGGCCAAATCATTTCCATGGAAATGAGATGTGTCAATGTAAATAAAACTACATACTAAATATCACTGATTTATCATAAATGGTTCCCTTAAACTAATTTAATCAAAAACTTTTAAATGCTATCTATGCAAAATGTATGAGGTGAATGCATCTAAAATGAGGGGGTAGAACCACAAAATCTCTAGACAAAAGTTTTATAAATGTTTATACAACTGAATAACAAACATCATTGACTTACAATAAGAGGTTCCTTTAAGCTGACCTTACCACAAAATTAACGTTTAAACTACGCAAAAGTTTCAAAGTCAATGTACCATGACTGAGGGGTGGGGATTGACAAATCTCAATGGGAACTAGATATCATTGAGATGGGAGCCATCTCTGTGGGCCCCGCTGTGAATAATGTGTGGTAAAAAATTTGTACCTTTATCATTGGACATGGGGTTGTCAACTAAAACCCAAGTTTTTGACCTTGACCTTTGACCTAGGAAGTTGTACATACATTATGACACACCCTCTGGTGTTGGTTTATATACATGTCAAGTATAAACTTTGAAATCATAATGGTTCTCAAGATATAGAGCGGACACGATCTTTACCATAGGACATGGGGTTGTCAACTTAAACCAAAGTTTTTGACCTTGAAAATTGACCTAGAAAGTTGTACATACATTATGACACACCCTCTGGTGTTGGTTAATATACATGTCAAGTATAAACTTTGAAATCATAACAGTTCTCTGGATATAGAGCGGACACAATTTGTTACAGACGGACGGACGGATAGACTGATCACTATAGGGCGTCCTCCATTCGGAGGGGCCCTAATTATCTTTTTATGCTATCTATCATATATAAAACCTGTTGATTGTAGTGGTCCTTTTGAAAGTTATAACAAATAAAAACAGCAAGAATGCAAAAAAAAAACATGTATGTGTAAAAAAATTTAATCACCCACTGAATCAATCAATTAAACCCAATCTTTCTCCAACTGGACAGTCAAAATTCAAATATTTATAATCATGGACTTGCCTGACAATTTAAACAAATTTACTGTCTTGGATTGAGCAATATTTTATTTCACTCGATGTACTATACATAAATAGCCATAAAATGAAGATGAAATAGTTTTTACTAAAACACAAACTATATGAAAGAAGTTAATTATCTCCTTTTCTTAAAAATTAGACAAACCATACATTACCTTATATGTGACTGGTGTTTATTCAATACTTTATTGCACAATTTTCTACAATTTGGGGGGAACCTCTTTCTCTGTAGTAATAACTTTTTAACTATATCTTTTGACAGCTGCAACATAAAGAGAACAATAAGTATTATTTAAACATTATTGTTAATTAATTCAGAAATTTTTGTGTGCATTTTTTTTTTTTGAGATTGTTGAACATGTTGAAAAATGGACAAAATGCCAGATTGATTATTGCGATTTCAGGAAATGCTACATTCAAATAATGCTATCAAAATTTAAAATAAGTTTTTATTTTTGCAAAACCTATCTGGTTGCAATTTTTATCGCAATAACAAAACATCATAAAAATTCTGAATTTAAACAGTATTGTTAATTACAAAGACCTGTTTTATATTTCAGCTCAAATGGAGTTTTTCAGTATCACCTGAGTGGCCGTGTGGTCTAAGTAATCGAAGTACTGAATGACTAGCCTGTCAACACTGAGGTTTTGAGTTCGAATCCCACACGTTCCAGGTGGGTTGGACTCTTAATTGACTAGGACTGTCAGTTTTCCTACTGAAGGTCGTGGTTCTCTCCGCGCACTGGTTTCCTCCATCAATGAAAACTGACCTACACAAAAAAGCACAATAGTGCTGAAAGTGGCTTTAAACACCAATCAATCAATCAGTATCATCTGTCCTCAGTGGGAGTGGGCAAAGAGAAGATAAAAACTTTTAGATGTTTCACTGTGGCCATCCTTTTCTGCGAACCTATAATCTTTATTGACGTCATGAATAAACTCCAAGGAAACACATTATAAATGTCACAAACAAGGCGATATATGGTCAGTGACAAATACAAGGTCAACACAATTTGACTAGGCAAATAGCATAGATGCAGTATGAATTTGAAGCTTTGTTTTTGATGTTGACCTTGCAGATAGACAATTCAGCCTTATTCTTCACATACCCTCTGGTTGTGGGCAAAAATAATACCAAGTATCATTGATATTCCTTTAGAAGTTAAAAGTTCTGAGTCTGACATGACAGTAAATTCTAATATGGAGATGTAAAATTAAACTTAGTTTGTCCTTGACCTTGCAAACAGACATTGTGAACGAATTTGCAACACATCCTCTGGTAGTAGAAGTATCATGAATATTATTCATGAAATTCAAATCTTTTGAGTCAGAGACAAATTTGTATAGCAGACTATGGGGATATGAAGTTCAATTAAGGTTGCTGCCTTGACCTTGCAGAAAATCATTCTAACCTTATTTGCAATATTACTCCTGATGTTTGGCAACAATTATGACAAGTATAAATTATATTCTTCAAGGCATTTAATAGTTCAGAAGTGGATATGACTTGAAAAGACAAATAGACAGACAGACAGCATTAGATTCAAATACATAAAATATAAAAATAACAATATGAAAAGGAGATGTGCTATGACAGCCAATGGAACAACTATCAATGAAAGAACAAGGATGTGAACAAATATATGTCCTCGTACACCATTTCACAATGAGCAAATTCCAACAGTATACTCAAAGGCCCCAGGATGACAAAATGAGAAATAATTTGAACAAGAAAATTAAGTCTGAGACATACACGACAGATAACTTATCCTTACCACTGCTTTCTCCGACATTGGGAACAGCCTGCTCAGTACCAGAACTACTTCTTCCAATAATTTACTCTTTTCATTTCTGTCTAAATTTCTCACTACCTGTAAAATAGATTTACCTTTCATGGGTGACTACAAAAGAAATGGATTTATGTGCGGTATATGTGAAATGAATTTGTAATTGTGTTTTGAACACAGTGTTTTAAAATTAATGTGATTATGTTTGTAGGTTAGTATCTTATCTTATTGCACTGGATTGAAGTTATTGATGATTGGGTAGTGGCTACACTAGCAAAAGGTTATTAATTAGAAGTTTATTTTTCCCATTTATCTATGGTATTTTCGTTTTTCATAAATTGTCTCTCATTATTTCGAAGTTGATCAGATTGATAAAAACAATTTGAGATAACAGGAATTTTGAAATATCAGGAGTAAATATAATGCAAATCAATCAATTGGGCTAGATGTTTAACTTTGAGATAACAGGAATTTTATGATAAAAGAGTTTGAGATAATAGGAAAAAAGTTGATTGAAGTCGTATTAAACTGTTAAAAGTACTATATTTATTTTGTAGATTATCTTGCTGATGTACCCTTCAAATAATTCTACAATGCATTGTTTTGTACTTAATTATTGATGTATTTTATTTTAGCAATATGGACCTATATGACAGAGAAGACATTTTGTATTATTTATAATAAATTTTAGCAGTAATCACTGCACCATTCAGTATCTAAATTATGTTTGTTTCTACGTTTTTTGTGGGAGTAGTTTATTATAGTTGATGTGTTTCCCTCGGTTTTGGTTTGTGACCCGGCTTTGTTTTCGCTTAATCGATTTATGACTATTGAACAGCGGTATGCTACTGTTGCCTTTATTTAGCACTGAAGTGTACGTTAAATTATGTACATATATTTTCAAGAAAACTAAATGCATTTTAGCACATATATGTTTTATGTTCGTTGAAACAAAGTGTATCATAATATCAGAGCACTTAATAACTCCATAGAAAATCCTAAAATAAAAATATATCAACTGAAGTGTGCATCCTTCTGAATATTGACAAAAGCTTATTAACTTTCCTAATACATTATTAAATTCTGACATGACTTAAATTTTTTCCAACTATAAAAGTAGAACAAAACAATATTCAGATTGGACAAATTATGAACATGGAAGGTTCCTTAATTTTTTAGTTCTTAAAATACGTGTTAAGGTAAGGTTGGTACCTATTAAAACGTTTAAACCCGCTGCATTTGTTTGCACCTGTCCTAAGTCAGGAATCTGATGTTCAGTAGTTGTCGTTTGTTGATGTGGTTCATAAGTGTTTCTCATTTCTCGTTTTTAATATAGATTAGACCGTTGGTTTTCCCGTTTGAATGGTTTTACACCAGTCATTTTTGGGGCCCTTTATAGCTTGCTGTTCGGTGTGAGCCAAGGCTCCATGTTGAATACCGTACTTTGACCTATAATGGTTTACTTTTACAAATTGTGACTTGGAGGGAGAGTTATCTCGTTGATCACTCATACCACATCTTCTTATATCTATTAAATATGAGATTTTCTTTCCTTAGAATATATCTTAATTTCAGTTAGTAAAAAACACTATAGGACTATTGCATGAATATTGTTGAATATTGCATTGAATAGAATAGTATATGACTATTGCACTTATATTCTTGAAAATTGTCCTGAATGGAATATTATAGGACTATTGCACTAATATTGCCCAATGTAGAATAGTATCATTATAGCACTATTGCACTAAAATTGTTGAATATTGCATAGAATAGAATATTATAGGACTATTGCACCATTATTGTTGAATATTGTCCTGAAAAGAATTGTATATGATTATTGCACTAATATGATAATATTGTTCAATATTGCCCTGAATAGAACCTTATAGGACTATTGCACTAATATAGTTGAATTTTGTCCTGAATAGAACTCTTAAGGACTATAACCTTATATTGTTAAATGTTGCCCTGAAAAGAACCTTAAAGGACCTTTGCAATTATATAGTTGAATTTTGTCCTGATTAGAACTCTTAAGGACTATACCCTAGTATTGTTGAATGTTGCCCTGAATAGAATATTATCGGACTATACAATGTATTTACGTGAAGAAATTAAGTGGAAAGAACTACTTAAACTCAACAACTGTCAAGCAGACAATGTACCCTGTTTTTTGTTTGATATATTGACAATATTAGCAATCATTCTTTTTTGAAATGTAATACAATAGAAGGATAATTGTATGAATATTATCTCTTGTAGAATATTATTTGTACTCACTAGCGGATGCGATATATAATATTCTATTCAGGGCCGGCATTTCAAAATTTGAGCCAGCCGGCCACTTTTGTTAAAACTCATTTTCATCTTTTAAAAATTTTGTAACAATATAGGCAATCAAGGGAATTATTTGGGTATCAAGGACAATATAGGACTCTCAGGAAAACAATAACTTCATACTTTCTATATGAATTCCGTGAACTGACATAAACTGGTACATTGATAGTTCAGTTAATTGACAGTGCATTGTCATTTTGGAATGTGCAACAGCACACCATTCCCATCTGCACTATACACCATTCCCTTTCATCCATTGATTCGCTCACAAAACTGCACAATTCAAAATAAACAATTACTAACTAGTTTAGGGGCCAACAAGTATTCAAATGACAACATCACATCAGTGTTTCCACGATACAAATTGGAATGTTTGTGTAAATATAAACTTACATATTCAATGGCCTGTATAGACTCTGTAGTAAAGTTGTCCCACTCAGTTTCTCCCAAACTATCTTGCTGAAAATGCAATGTTTTGTGTTTGGTACAGTATGATAAAATTCTGTTCACATAGATGTACGAGACAAATTATCTTAAAACATATAAAGCTTGTCAACACTGCTTTTAGTCTACATCTACATGACAAAATTAACTAAACTAACATGACACACTTCTTTTGTTTTATAATCAAAGCTATGTTCTAATTTCGGCAAAACCTCAAAATTACATTTACCCCGCCATTTGCATTTAAAACGATGTGGGCGATTTAAACTGACATTTCAATGGGCTTTGCTCACGAAGAATTTCAATTACAAGACCTAAACATTTTCTAATGAAGCACAAAGGAAAATATATTGAAAATAACTTTTAGCTCTAAACATGACTAAAATTTTTGTGTTCAGACATTGCAATAACACAAAAATGTCTGTTTGAATAAATGTACTTACTTGTAAGATAGAAAAAAACACAAGAGTGGTCTCTACATACTTCTTAATAATTTCTTAGACAGCTTGAAAATAACTAAAACTAATTATCAAGAGCCTCCTCATGGGGTTTTTGATTATGTGATTACTTGGCCGTTTTTATAGTGATTATTTGATTACCAGACCAAATATTTCATGATTATTTGATAATCTAGGACTGTATCTTTGATTATTTGATTATCTTGTTTAAAAGAATAATTAATAATTATGTGATTATATTGGAAAAAAAATTTGTGATTATGTGATTACTTGGACATCCCCATGAGGACCTCTATCAACTACATTAGAGACGGTACTTACAACAGTTTTATTGATGATCACTGCTAACATGGAACAAGCCTGGATCTGAAAATAAAACAGAATATTATCATGAATGATTTGGGTTTTTTTATGCTTGTCTTTTATCTTTATCTCTCCATGTTACATTTATGGTAAAGCCAATCATGGTGATTGGTCAGCAGAAATACTTTAATATTTAAGTCGTTGGTTTAGACCAAACAAAGTCTTCTTCATATGGGTCAGAGTGACAATGTCAGAGTGGAGGTGATCATTATTGTTTTGTTTAATGAATCTTTATATCTGCCACAACATGTGAGGAACAATGTTATGAAAAGTGACTGTAGAAACAAGACCAAAAGCCAATATAGTGTCTGTGTCACTGCATCCAATTGATTCAGGTTCCATGTATCCTGAAGCATAACTGAACATAATCCAAAATCATTGAAACCAAGAAAACTATGACGAAAATTTTCCTTGTACAATAAGTGTTGTAAAATTTCAAAGTATCACAAACAGGAAGTGTTAACTCAACATTATCAAGCGACAGACCAAACATACCACCATTCCCTTCTAAAGAAGCAAAGAAAGGTTTGACCACAATTTTCCTTGCATAATGAAAGTTTTCTTCCCAAGGTCTTTGGACTGACGAACGGAAAGACAGACTGACAGACAGTAAGACAGACGGGCGGACAAACTGACCGACATGTCCAGCAGTTACTAGACCCGCTTTCACCATCAGCAACTCAGGTAAAAAACAAGAATGTGTCCAAAGTACACAGATGACCCACTCGAACTATCATTTTATATGTTCAGTGGACCGTGAAATTGGGGTCAAAACTCTAATTTGGCATTAAAATTAGAAAGATTATATCATAGGGAACAAGTGTACTTAGTTTCAAGTTGATTGGACTTCAACTTCATCAAAAACTACCTTGACCAAAAACTTTAACCTGAAGCGGGACAGACGGATGAACGGACGGATGGACAGACGAACGGATGAATCGACGCACAGACCGAAAAACATAATGCCTCTCTACTATTGTAGGTGGGGCATAAAAATACTAACACAAGCTTTGCAAATTTACCAAGACCTTTTGCAATATTAAATAGATATAAACCTGATATATTACTGAATTTTGTCCATGACTCCATTGGTCCTATATCTCCCTTTTATGATCAAATATGTAGGTAATCGTATAGTATATCTAAATTAACTTATATATCATATATACTTACTTTAAAGAATCCTTTAGGATCATCCCCTTTCAGTATTTTAAATAATGTTTTAGCCAAAGGCCAGTATATTGCCTGAAATGTAATAAAATAGAAGAATATATTTTTTTTTAAAACCTTAAGACTTCAAGGGCAAGTAATCATCTACAATGCATTAATAAATAATGTAAATTCAGAATTTATTGAGAGATTTTTGTTAATGCGAAAAATGCAACTGGGTGAGTATCCCAACAATAAGAACATGCATTCAGATATCTAATACATATATTGTAAGCAGACTTTCATGAAATCACAATAAGTAATATCATGTTTGCCCATTCTTCAAACATGGCAATAAGAAATGCTTGCAATAATTTCTGAATTTAGATACAGAGTATTTTAGAAATAAACGTAAGGGGAAGAACTTTTTATTTACCCTTTTTTCAATGTAAATAAGAAGATGTGGTATGAGTGCCAATGAGACAACTATCCATCCAAGTCACAATGTGTAAAAAGTAAACAATTATAGGTCAAAGTACGGCCTTCAACACGGAGCCTTGGCTCACACCGAACAGCAAGCTATATAAAGGGCCCCAAAAAGACTAGTGCAAAACAATTCAAACAGGAAAACCAATGGTCTAATCTATATAAAAAAACGGGAACAAGAAACACTTATGAACCACACCAACAAATGACAACCACTGAAAAACAGGCTCCTGTTCACTCTGCAAAAGACAAGAAAATTTACATTTTTTTCAGAATAAATACTAGTCAATAATTGTTAAATGTTTCTAATTGACCTCTGTAGGTTCTTTGTTAGATGATGGGTTGCTGCCATAATGGCGTACAATACAAACATCCATTTATCGATGTCTAAAATTTTAGCCTGAATCATGCAAATTCTGCTGATTTTTCTAATTCATATATACTAATACATGTACAATTTCAAGCTTGTTTAGAGTGTCTGTCTTCTAGTAATTTTACTGTCTTAAAGTACTCACTGGAGCTTTGGACACGATGTTGGTAAAGAATGCCATATTTATTTTACTGTTCCTGAAAATAAAAGTTTATGCATTACTGATTTATTTAGCACAGTAACAGTTCAATTTTTAAAGTTTTTCTGTTTTGAGAATGTTCTGTTGGAGAAGTTTTGTATCTGGAGCACACTCCTGATTATGAAGACAATATAATATGAAAATGCATCAACTTAGACATGTAAATGCTGTAAGATGGGACAGAGGGATTTTTACTGCTGAAAAATGGGAAGCATACAGTCAGGACCTTGAACATCGGTTGTCTTACGTCATACTTTAAGGCTTTTTCTATTTTGAAAATGTCCTGCTGATATAATATGAAAATGCATCAACTTAGACATGTAAATGCTGTAAGATGGGACAGAGGGATTTTTACTGCTGAAAAATGGGAAGCATACAATCAGGACCTTGGATATCGGTTGTCTTACGTCATACTTCAATGCTTTTTCTATTTTGAAAATGTCCTGCTGATAGTAGATCTGTCTCCTTTTCATTTATTCACATCTATTTCAGACTCAGGATGATGTAAAGCTCAACATTGTATAAACTATCTACTGTTAAGACAGAACATATTTTCCTTCTAGATGTCTTTTGGTAATTTGTGTTGTTTAGTTGATGTCTTTAGGTAATTTGTATTGTTTGGTTGATGTCTTTTGGTAATTTGTGTTGTTTGGTTGATGTCTTTAGGTAATTTGTGTTGTTTGGTTGATGTCTTTTGATAATTTGTGTTGTTTGGTTGATGTTTTTTGGTAATTTGTGTTGTTTGGTTGGTGTCTTTTGGTAATTTGTGTTGTTTGGTTGGTGTCTTTTGGTAATTTGTGTTGTTTGGTTGATGTCTTTTGGTAATTTGTGTTGTTTGGTTGATGTCTTTAGGTAATTTGTGTTGTTTGGTTGATGTCTTTTGATAATTTGTGTTGTTTGGTTGGTGTCTTTTGGTAATTTGTGTTGTTTGGTTGGTGTCTTTTGGTAATTTGTATTGTTTGGTTGGTGTCTTTTGGTAATTTATGTTGTTTGGTTGATGTCTTATTGAAATTTACTCTCCTTTTAAATACATTACGGCAGTAAGCTACTACTTTCTTCTTACTTTTTAGTTAAACATATCTCTAATTCTTCAGCCAATATTCTGATAACTTCTTTATGTAATCTTTCATGTTCCTGTCGAAAAAATCAAAATTATGTAAAAAATTATTAAATGAAACAAACTGAATAAACAATATGTATAACCCAATCACTTAACAATGTGTTCAATATCAAATGAAAATTTACAACATTCTGCAGTATTCCAATGCTGTGCACTTAATATTCCATTTGTTTGTTCTTTTTTTTTTTTCATTATTGAAGAAATGTCTATTAAAAATCTTATAACTTTCAAATTCACTCTTTTCCTGCCACTGATTTTAACAGGGATTGGCAAAATCAAACCTTATTACAAACAGGATATCGCATCCTAATTGTGCCTCTCACAAACATGCCCCATTTTATATGTGCCTGTCCCTAGTCAGGAGCTTGTAAATCATTAATTGCGGTTGGTTATTGTCCGTCATACATGTATTTGTTATTAAAATTGTTATAAAAATATATTTTCTCATTTCAATTGTTTCACATTTTCCCATGAATTGGCCTTCTATAATTTACTATACAGCATGGATTTTGCTCTGTTGAAGGATGTAAGGTGACCAATAGTTGCACACATCATTTGACTTCTGTTGGATCATACCACATCTCTAAATTTCCATAAGGATTAATTTTGCAACTGCACAGAGCATAATTCCATCAAATAAAAGGCACATCTATTTTCCATTGGAATTATTTTACTAGCACTAGACAACATACCTGTTCTTTGTTGACTGAACTGTCCTCTTGTTCTTGATCATTTTACTAGCACAAGACAACATACCTTTTCTTTGTTGACTGAACTGTCTTCTTGTTCTTGATCATTTTACTAGCACTAGACAACATACCTGTTCTTTGATGACTGAACTGTCTTCTTGTTCTTGATCATTTTACTAGCACTAGACAACATACCTGTTCTTTGTTGACTGAACTGTCTTTTTGTTCTTGATCATTTTACTAGCACTCGACAACATACCTGTTCTTTGTTGACTGAACTGTCATCTTGTTCTTGATCATTTTACTAGCACTAGATAACATACCTTTTCTTTGTTGATTGAACTGTCTTCTTGTTCTTGATCATTTTACTAGCACTAGATAACATACCTGTTCTTTGTTGACTGAACTGTCTTCTTGTTCTTGATCATTTTACTAGCACTAGATAATATACCTGTTCTTGCTTGACTGAACTGTCTTCTTGTTCTTGATCATTTTACTAGCACTAGACAACATACCTGTTCTTTGTTGACTGAACTGTCTTCTTGTTCTTGATCATTTTACTAGCACTAGATAACATACCTGTTTTTGCTTGACTGAACTGTCTTCTTGTTCTTGATCATTTTACTAGCACTAGATAATATACCTGTTCTTGCTTGACTGAACTGTCTTCTTGGTCTTGATCATTTTACTAGCACTAGACAACATACCTGTTCTTTGTTGACTGAACTGTCTTCTTGTTCTTGATCATTTTACTAGCACTAGATAACATACCTTTTCTTTGTTGACTGAACTGTCCTCTTTTCTTGATCATTTTACTAGCACTAGATAACATACCTGTTCTTTGTTGACTGAACTGTCTTCTTGTTCTTGATCATTTTACTAGCACTAGAAAACATACCTTTTCTTTGTTGACTTAACTGTCTTCTTGTTCTTGATCATTTTACTAGCACTAGATAACATACCTGTTCTTTGTTGACTGAACTGTCTTCTTGTTCTTGATCATTTTACTAGCACTAGACAACATACCTTTTCTTTGTTGACTGAACTGTCCTCTTGTTCTTGATCATTTTACTAGCACTCGACAACATACCTGTTCTTTGTTGACTGAACTGTCATCTTGTTCTTGATCATTTTACTAGCACTAGATAACATACCTTTTCTTTGTTGATTGAACTGTCTTCTTGTTCTTGATCATTTTACTAGCACTAGATAACATACCTGTTCTTTGTTGACTGAACTGTCTTCTTGTTCTTGATCATTTTACTAGCACTAGATAATATACCTGTTCTTGCTTGACTGAACTGTCTTCTTGTTCTTGATCATTTTACTAGCACTAGACAACATACCTGTTCTTTGTTGACTGAACTGTCTTCTTGTTCTTGATCATTTTACTAGCACTAGATAACATACCTGTTTTTGCTTGACTGAACTGTCTTCTTGTTCTTGATCATTTTACTAGCACTAGATAACATACCTGTTCTTTGTTGACTGAACTGTCTTCTTGTCCTTGATCATTTTACTAGCACTAGATAAGATACCTGTTCTTTGTTGACTGAACTGTCTTCTTGTTCTTGATCATTTTACTAGCACTAGATAACATACCTGTTCTTTGTTGACTGAACTGTCTTCTTGTTCTTGATCATTTTACTAGCACTAGACAACATACCTTTTCTTTGTTGACTGAACTGTCCTCTTGTTCTTGATCATTTTACTAGCACTAGATAACATACCTGTTCTTTGTTGACTGAACTGTCTTCTTGTTCTTGATCATTTTACTAGCACTAGACAACATACCTGTTCTTTGTTGACTGAACTGTCCTCTTGGTCTTGATGTGACCTTGTCTTCTTGGGTGATGCAATGTCACTGGGTTCAACATTTATCAATAATTTTGTCTATGAAAAAAAAACAAATTATTCAATAATAAACTAAGGTCACATGCAATCTTTATTCAATTGTCCTTTCAAAGAAATATGGTGAGGAAGGAGCAGGGATCTTTTTTTTTTTCTCACAAAAACATATGTATGTTTTACATATTTATAAATGTTAATTAAGACAATAATTTGAAAAAAAAATCAGACAGGAAGATGAGATTGAGATTATATACTAAGCAACTTAACAAGGTAGCAATAGTAATATTGTAGCTTTTACAAAGTGGTTTAAACAATATGCCCTGCTTGCACTATCACATTTCCATGTTCAGTGAACCATGAATGTTTGCTCAAAACCTGAATTTGTCATGCATTATAAGTTGATGTGACCACAAAGTAACTCAAACCAGACCTCAAACCTCCCTCTAACCAAAACTTTAATCTGATACAGAATGGAAGGACGGAATAACGGAAGGACAGACTGACTGACGCAAAATGCCCCTCTTCTATTGTAGGGGAGGGGGAAAAGAATTAATACATTTTATTGGACTGGAAACAAGTTTGTCACTATTTTCTTTTTCTTTTGGATATGAGTGAGATAATAAAACCATATATCATATGGATGGTGGATATGAGTGAGATATTAAAACAATATATCATATGGATGGTGGATATGAGTGAGATATTTAAAAGATATATCATATGGATGGTGGATATGAGTGAGATATTTAAAAGATATATCATATGGATGGTGGATAAGAGTGAGATATTAAAACGATATATCATATGGATGGTGGTTATGAGGGAGATATTTAAAAGATATATCATATGGATGGTGGATATGAGTGAGATATTAAAATGATCCAACATCAAGAACACATTAATTTCTGAATATGGTTTAAATACACCTAATGTTCTCCAGCTGAGCCTAGCAATATTCAAGGTAATTTATACACTGTCCAACATTGCCCTTAAAATCTGGGTTAAAACGCTAAAGTGCCCTTTCAGACAACTAGCACCCTTCTGAGATATTAAAATGATATATCATATGGATGGTGGATATGAGTGAGATATTAAAATGATATATCATATGGATAGTGGATATGAGTGAGATATTTGAAAGATATATCATATGGATGGTGGATATGAGTGAGATATTTGAAAGATATATCATATGGATGGTGGATATGAGTGAGATATTAAAATGATATATCATATGGATGGAAGATATGAGTGAGATATTTAAAAGATATATCATATGGATGGTGGATATGAGGGAGATATTTAAAAGATACCCCGGTATATCATATGGATGGTGGATATGAGTGAAAGATATATCATATGGATGGTGGATATGAGTGAGATATTTAAAAGATATATCATATGGATGGTGGATATGAGTGAGATATTTAAAAGATATATCATATGGATGGTGGATAAGAGTGAGATATTAAAACGATATATCATATGGATGGTGGTTATGAGGGAGATATTTAAAAGATATATCATATGGATGGTGGATATGAGTGAGATATTAAAATGATCCAACATCAAGAACACATTAATTTCTGAATATGGTTTAAATACACCTAATGTTCTCCAGCTGAGCCTAGCAATATTCAAGGTAATTTATACACTGTCCAACATTGCCCTTAAAATCTGGGTTATAACGCTAAAGTGCCCTTTCAGACAACTAGCACCCTTCTGCCCTGAGATTCAAGCTGGAACACTGATATGGATGGTGGATAAGAGTGAGATATTTAAAAGATATATCATATGGATGGTGGATATGAGGGAGATATTAAAATGATATATCATATGGATGGTGGATATGAGTGAGATATTTAAAAGATATATCATATGGATGGTGGATATGAGGGAGATATTTAAAAGATATATCATATGGATGGTGGATATGAGTGAAAGATATATCATATAGATGGTGGATATGAGTGAGATATTTACAAGATATATCATATGGATGGTGGATATGAGGGAGATATTAAAATGATATATCATATGGATGGTGGATTAGAGTGAGATATTTAAAAGATATATCATATGGATGGTGGATATGAGGGAGATATTAAAATGGTATATCATATGGATGGTGGATATGAGTGAGATATTAAAACGACATATCATATGGATGGTGGATATGAGTGAGATATTTAAAAGATATATCATATGGATGGTGGATAAGAGTGAGATATTAAAACGATATATCATATGGATGGTGGTTATGAGGGAGATATTTAAAAGATATATCATATGAATGGTGGATATGAGTGAGATATTAAAATGATCCAACATCAAGAACACATTAATTTCTGAATATGGTTTAAATACAACTAATGTTCTCCAGCTGAGCCTAGCAATATTCAAGGTAATTTATACACTGTCCAACATTGCCCTTAAAATCTGGGTTATAACGCTAAAGTGCCCTTTCAGACAACTAGCACCCTTCTGCCCTGAGATTCAAGCTGGAACACTGATATGGATGGTGGATAAGAGTGAGATATTTAAAAGATATATCATATGGATGGTGGATATGAGGGAGATATTAAAATGATATATCATATGGATGGTGGATAAGAGTGAGATATTTAAAAGATATATCATATGGATGGTGGATATGAGGGAGATATTAAATTATATATCATATGGATGGTGGATATGAGTGAGATATTAAAATGATATATCATATGGATGGTGGATATGAGTGAGATATATAAATGATATATCATATGGATGGTGGATATGAGTGAGATATTTGAAAGATATATCAAATGGATGGTGGATAAGAGTGAGATATTTAAAAGATATATCATATGGATGGTGGATAAGAGTGAGATATTTAAAAGATATATCATATGGATGGTGGATAAGAGTGAGATATTTAAAAGATATATCATATGGATGGTGGATATGAGTGAGATATTAAAATGATATATCATATGGATGGTGGATATGAGTGAGATATTTGAAAGATATATCATATGGATGGTGGATATGAGTGAGATATTTGAAAGATATATCATATGGATGGTGGATATGAGTGAGATATTAAAATGATATATCATATGGATGGTGGATATGAGTGAGATATTTAAAAGATAAATCATATGGATGGTGGATATGAGTGAGATATTTAAAAGATATATCATATGGATGGTGGATATGAGTGAGATATTTAAAAGATATATCATATGGAAGGTGGATATGAGCGAGATATTTAAAAGATAATATCATATGGATGGTGGATATGAGTGAGATATTTGAAAGATATATCATATGGATGGTGGATATGAGTGAGATATTAAATTGATATATCATATGGATGGTGGATATGAGTGAGATATTTAAAAGATATATCATATGGATGGTGGATATGAGGGAGATATTTAAAAGATACCCCGGTATATCATATGGATGGTGGATATGAGTGAAAGATATATCATATGGATGGTGGATATGAGTGAGATATTTAAAAGATATATCATATGGATGGTGGATATGAGGGAGATATTTAAAAGATACCCCGGTATATCATATGGATGGTGGATATGAGTGAAAGATATATCATATGGATGGTGGATATGAGTGAGATATTTAAAAGATATATCATATGAATGGTGGATATGAGGGAGATATTTAAAAGATATATCATATGGATGGTGGATACGAGGGAGATATTTAAAAGATATATCATATGGATGGTGGATATGAGTGAGATATTAAAACGATATATCATATGGATGGTGGATATGAGGGAGATATTAAAATGATATATCACATGGATGGTGGATATGAGTGAAAGATATATCATATGGATGATGGATATGAGTGAGATATTTAAAAGATATATCATATGGATGGTGGATATGAGTGAGATATTAAAACGATATATCATATGGATGGTGGATATGAGGGGAATATTTAAAAGATATATCATATGGATGTTGGATTCGAGGGAGATATTTAAAGGATAAATCATATGGATGGTGGATATGAGTGAGTTATTAAAATGATATATCATATGGATGGTGGATACGAGTGAGTTATTAAAATGATATATCATATGGATGGTGGATATGAGGGAGATATTAAAATGATATATCATATGGATGGTGGATATGAGGGAGATATTTAAAAGATATATCATATGGCTGGTGGATATGAGGGAGATATTAAAACGATATATCATATGGATGGTATCATTTCTAATGTAAAATGCATAAAAACAAAATTTATGCACAATTATGATTAAAAGTAGATGTGGCGTATATCTATATGTCAATGAAACAGCAACCAAATGAGAAACAAAACTCTTAAAACAATGCAGGTTATATAAACTGTCATAAACAAAAAACAGGTGTCTATTCAAGATATATGTCAAGCTCTCAATCGCCCTCAGTATAAAAATTGTGAATGAATTTAACAGCTTTTAAAAATCTTCAATCAACACATGGTTTTTAAATGAGTTCCAATCTGTTGGGACTCATTATGTACAAAACACACAGTCTTTATGAAAATAATAAACAGCTATAAAACATAGTTCTAATAATGTATTCACACCTTGTTTTTGTAAATTATGTACAACTAAAACACAGATAATTTTTAAATTCATGCACAGCTGTAAAACACACACTTATTTTTGTAATAAGTGTAAGCCTATAAAACAAAGTTCTTTTCCAAATCCCATAGAGCTATAAAACAGAGTTTTTATTTTGTAATTCACCTTATAAATTCACTGACTTGTGATGTCATGTTTATCCATCCTTATTTTCAATACCCATACATGATAGTGCTAAAATTAATACTCACTATTAGGAAAAAGGCATCTGATACCGAATGCAGCAAGGATTTATCAATTACTGAAAATATATCATAACATATATCAATGTATATTACATGTAAAATTGAGAATGGAAATGGGGAATGTGTCAAAGAGACAACAACCCGACCATAGAGCAGACATCAGCCGAAGGCCACCAATGGGTCTTCAATGCAGCGAGAAACTCCCGCACCTGGAGGCGTCCTTCAGCTGGCCCCTAAACAAATATGTATACTAGTTCAGTGATAATGGACGTCATACTAAACTCCAAATTATACACAAGAAACTAAAATTAAAAATGATACAAGACTCACAAAGGCCAGAGGCTCCTGACTTGGGACAGGCGCAAAAATGCGGCGGGATTAAACATGTTTTTTTGAGGTCTCAACCCTCCCCTTATACATCTAGCCAATGTTTAAAAAAAAACGTACAACAGTACGCACAGTAAAACTCAGTTTAAGAGAAGTCCGAGTCCGATGTCAGAATAGGAAACAAAAGAAAATAAACAAAATGACAATAATACATAAATAACAACAGACTACTAGCAGTTACTGACATGCCAGCTCCAGACCTCAATTAAACTGATTGAAAGATTATGTCTTCATCATATGAATATCAGGCACAATCCCTCCTGTTAGGGGTTTAGTATTATACCATCATAAAATATATGAGAAGAACATAACCTGTGTCATGCAAACAACTGGTTTTAGAATAAATATGTTTAATTCCGATGCAAAGACCCTATAAGTGAATCAATATTAAAGCCAAAATATGCAATCTTTAATGATCTGACAACAGTATCGTAACTATATCCCTTCTTAATAAGTCTGTTTAAAGGTTTTGTTAGCTTTTGAGGTGAATACTGACATTTTTGTGCTTTGTAAAGAATATTACCATAAAATGTGTTGATTTTTTTCACTTACATGTACCAATATGTCAGTAAAGCATCATACATTTCAATTGCCTTTATTTCTAAACTAATTAATAGGCCTGGGTGGCTGAGTGGTTTTAGTACTGTAAATTCAGAAATGTTTGTGCTGTTTTTATTATTGCTGAAATTTTGACGATTTAAGTGTCACAAAAATAAAAACTTGTATTTTATATTTTGATAGGATTTTTTTTGTATGCAGGATTTCTTGAAATCGCAATAATTAAACTTGCATTTGTGTTGACTGCCCAACAATCCCAATATTAAATCCATGCAATAGTTTCTGAATTTACATTAGTTCATCTACAGTGATCATTAGAACGTCAACTCTGAGGATGTTAGCTCAAACCCTGTTTGCAGCAAGGTGTGTTCAACTCTGATCTTAAAATTTTTAAGGATTGGCAATTTTCCAGCCAAAGGTCAGTCTACTCTATGTCCTCTGGCTTCCTCCACCAATAAAAATAATAATAAACTGTTGACACAGAGATAGGTCTCACCTTTTTGTCATTTGATAGCATAATGCAAATATTGAATCCAAATGGCAATATTCTAACATGTAAACTATGCAAAACATTCAAAGTCAATGAACCATGACTTATGATGCAGGACCAAATAACCCTATGGAAATGAGAAATGCCAATGCTTATAAAACTGCATTCCAAATATTATTGACTTATCATAAGTGGTTCCCTTTACAATAACCTAAACATAAACTTTGATTTGTCAACATGTAAAAGTTTCAAAGTTAATGAACCATGCTGAGGGGTTTGGGCCATATAATCATCACTGAAAAGAGACTTTCAAATGCTAATACAACTTCATACCAAATATCATTTCCTAACGTTAGCCGTTTCTCATAAGCTGATCTAATCACAAACTTAACATGTAAACTATGCAAAACATTCAAACTCATAGACCATGACTGCAGGGGTGGAGCCAAATAATTTCCATGGAAATGAGATATGCTAATGGTAATGGATCTACATACTAAATATCAATGACCTACCACTAGTGGTTCCCCTAAAACTGACCGAATCACAAACTAATAGATGTAAAGTAAGCAAAAGTTTCAAAGTCAATAGACCATGACTGAGGGGATGGGGATGAATATTCTCCGTGGAAATGAGATGTTCCAGTGCTAATACAACTAGTATTGCATACCAAATATCACTGACCTATCGCTAGTGGTTCCCAATAAACTGACCTAATCACAAACTAATACATTCTTGACGCCGCTGACGCCACAGTTAGAAACAGCATACTTAAGTCTCTCTTTTTGACTGTCAAAGCGAGACACAAACTAACTGCAATGATAAAGCCAAGGTCTCTGTAACTGGCTTTAAGCACAAACAAATCAAATAATTAACATTTTTTTTTATTTTAACCTTGTATTGTATTAGTATTTGCATAAGTATATCTGCTAATTTTTAAAACCACTAAAACATTTTTCATCAGTCATAATGAAAGATAATAAACTGCTTCGCTGAGCGCAGCTAGATACGCCCGCAGAGGTCCAACCCTGAACAGTTGGGGCAAAAATGGACACAATATTCAAGCTTGATTCAGGTCTGAATTTGGATTGTAATTAAATATTTGACATATTATAGGTTTCTGAATAAATGTATTCAAAGAACTTGAAATTGGTTACATGAATTGAATTAATGTTCAATTAAAGATTTCTTGCTTTTGTGCAATACTTAGTAAATCTGTTGTCAGACTATAAACAAATAAAGTTCAATCAATTCTCAATATCATATTAGAAATTTATGAAAATAAAAAGGGAGCTTACATCAATAGATATAAACTATTCACCAAAGTTTCATGAGAATTGGTGACAGCATTTTTGAGTTATTGTTTGAAAACAGGAAAATCACCCCTTTTTTTAATGAATAAGACCCCATAACTCAGAAATGTAAAATGTAAAATTTATAAAATTCTAAAGGGAGCTTACATAAATACATACAAACAATTCACCAAAGTTTCATAAGAATTGCTGACAGCATTTTAGAGTTTATGTCCAAAAACTGGAAAATCCCCCCTTTTTTTATGAATAAAACCATGTAACTCGGAAACGTAAAATCTAAAATTTATAAAAATCAAAAGGGAGCTCATGTCAATAGATATAAACAATTCACCACAATTTCTTGCAAGTTGGTGAAAGCATTCTTGACTTATTGTCTGAAAACTGGAAAATCCCCCTTTTTTTTAATGAATAAAACCCCATAACTTGGAACTGTAAAATCTAAATTTTATAAAAAACGAAAGGGAGCTCACGTCAATAGATATTAACAATTCACCAAAGTTTTATGCAAATTGGTTAAAGCATTTTTGAGTTAATGTCAGACATGTTGACGACGGACAGACAGACGGACAGACAGACAGACAGACGGACAACGGTATACCATAATACGTCCCTTAAACGGGCGTATAAAAATGGAAAACCAAACTAAGGGAGACAGAATTTGACAAATTCAATCAAGATAACTTCTAGACATCAACATACCTGTTTTAGACATTTCAATCACAGACTTTAAAGATTCCAAACATCTGTCTGTTCCTACAGTTACACTGCCGTGTACCTAAAATAAACAAATCATTTGTATATAAGGAGATATATATGTTTTTAGATTTTTTACAGACCCATTTAATTTCTTTAAATTTTCTATGACATTATTGTTAATGGTATACTTGATTTCTGGGTTTAATTATCATGATTGTAATGAAATCAAAAAACATTTATTCAAAAATACTTCCTTGTTTTTTTGGTTATATTTTCTAGTTCCATTCCAAAATTTATTGAAAACATCAGTCTTTTGTTCTGGTAAATTTCAAGAATTTGTTTACACTTAAATATAGAGAACTATATAGTTAGTTGTTCATTAAGGTGAATCTCCTATTTGAAGATATAAATCTCAGTTTGTAGAGGATCCTTCAATTGCAAAATAGTCATTTCTAGTTGGAACCAAATTCAAAATATGATTAATAAATGCAAATTATCCGAATCAAGTTGCTATGCTCAGAAATGACTTAACTATAATTCTATTGTATTTCAATTTTTTTTTTTTTTTTTTTTTTTACATTTAGAAAATACACAAATATAAACTGTACAAATTTTCTCACCTTTTGCCTTTTATACAACTGTTTGAAAACTCCAGTGGCCTTATTACTTAGTTCTCTGTTTTCTATCACTTTTTCTCCATGCATCATTAGTTCCAACAGTGGAAACAATAAATCCTTTAATTTCAAAATTGATCATTAAATTCGTTTTATCTTTATTAGAAGTGCATGCAAATTTTTTAAATAGATTTTATGATCATGGTCGCTTGTGTTTTTCTTTAACTTATGGTTTTTGTCTGCCCCATTAGTATTCCCCTTTTTTAAAACAAATCTATTATTTCCTTAAAGTCAAAAGCAATTTGCCATAAAAGTGCCCTTTTTATCAAATTTTCTAGTCATGCTTGAAGGTGGTTTGGGTAACAAATAAACACAGAAATATAATTTTCTAGATGTTTTGTTAAGTTTTTCCTTTTTTGTGATTTTAGATCAAAACAGATCATTTCAAAATCTCTGTAGCAACAGTTTCTGTTCATTTTTTTATTGCCTAAACCGCTTTATACCTAATTTTTGTGTCAAATTATCAAATCTTTTTTGATTGCTTTAATTAATAACTCTATCTTGTATGGTAAGGAAACTAATCATATCTTCATGTATATGGAATTTAATTTTTTCAAAAATTGTTCTTAATAACATCAACTTTATATCATAACTAGAGGCACTCAAGAGCCTGTGTCGCTCACCTGTATTTACTGATGCTTTGGAAATCATGTAAAAAAAGGTTAAAATCATAATTAATAGTATTAGATATTAGATATCATAATGACATCTAAGATAATAACAAAAAACTGCAAAATTTTTGTAAAATTACTAACTCAGGGGCAGCAACCCAACAACGGGTTGTCGGATTCATCTGAAAATTTCAGGGCAGATAAATTTAATCTGATGAACATTTTTGCCACCGTCAGATTTGCTCTAAATGCTTTAGTTTCAGAGATATAAACCAAAAACTGCATTTTACCCCTATGTTCTATTTTTAACCAAGTCAGCCATGATGGTTGGAAGGCGGGGTCATCGGACAAACATTTTTAAACTAGATACCCTAATAATGTAAAAGATTGCAAAAATTTACAAAAAATTGTTAAAAATTGACTATTAAGGGCAATAACTCCTAAAGGGGTCGTCTGACAATTTTGGTCATGACTACTTATTTGTAGATCTTACTTTGCTGAACATTATTGCTGTTTACAGTTTATCTCTATCTATAATAATATTCAAGATATTCAAGATAATAACCAAAAACTGCAAAATTTCCTTAAAATTACCAATTCAGGGGCAGCAACCCAACAACAGGTTGTCAGAAAATTTCAGGGCAGATAGATCTTGACCTGATAATCAGTTTTACCCTTGTCAGATTTACTCGAAATGCTTTGGTTTCAGAGATATAATCCAAAATCTACATTTTACCCCTATGTTCTATTTTTAGCCATGGCGGCCATCTTGGTTGGTTGGCGGGGTCATCGGACACATTTTTTAAACTAAATACCCTAATGATGATTGTGGCCAAGTTTGGTTAAATTTGGCCCAGTGGTTTCAGAGGAGAAGATTTTTGTAAAAAGCTAACGACGACGGACGACGGAAGACGACGACGATGACGGACGCCAAGTGATGAGAAAAGCTCACTTGGCCCTTCAGGCCAGGTGAGCTAAAAGTATATTTCATTGCTCATTAAAACATTTAATAATTTGTCAGAATGTCTCTGTATCATACAACTTATATAGCTTAAAACATGCTAGCTAGATTTCCATTTGTAATTAAATCTCTTACCAAAACAAGATCACGAGAAAGCTGTGTTTTGACCAGTGCTTCTACCAAATCTAGTACTCTGTAACATAAAATTAAAAATGTTTTTGTTTTAAACAATATTTTATTTAATAAGTCTTATTGTGCTAAATAAGATAATGCATTAAAAACAATAGGATCAAGAAACAACCGACATAGCTTATTTTAATCTGTCTCAATTTAAATGTTTTTTTAAGCAATTAAATTATTTGGCACTTGACCATCAATTCCATCAAATATTTGCAAATGTAGTTTTTAGATTTGAGAGGATTAGAGCATGACTTACTGTTTAGACTCCTCTTATCTATTGTGTAAGACTGTATGTTGATATCTAGATATTTTTTCTTTGGTTATTTGTGTTATTGAGTTGATTACTATTTAAGTGCCAGTCTTTGTAAGGATCAAGCAATTTTGAAAAAAAATCAAAACATTGCCGAAAAAAACCTACCGACCAAACCATCCTTTTTTGAAGTTACCCTCATCCTGAGTTAGAAATGGTAGGTCTTTTGTTTCTGTGTCTCTCTGGTAATTCGAGAAATCTCTTTTTAAATTTTGGTTAGAATAATAGCAAATTACTGAGTTAGCTCCCTTTAATAGTTAATTTCTAGTGCATTTCAACCAAATTATATCTAATTACCAGAACAGGAAAAGGAAACGAATGCTATATTCGTGCACCATTATACATTTTGAACATGAATTAATGTTAACTTGAGTGGGTTTTTGTTTGTCATGTTTTCACCACTGCCTGATTCTTAGGCAGATTGGCACTTAAAGTATTCTCCATATCTCCTTTTATTCAGGCCTATGAAGATGATTGAAAAATAACAGAAAAAATCATAACAGATCTGCATGTCACCTCTGTTGAAATGAAGATATAAAATCTATTCAGAAATACAAAGAAGCATTCAAGATAAACAGTACTGATTCATTGACTGATTAACTGCTTTAGTTTACCAACCTTAATTTGAAAGAGTCGAGTTGTTTTTGTGTTTCTTTTTTCTCCTTGTCTTTGTTTCTCTTGGAGTTTTTAAACACCATTGCCAAGGCAGCATCTAACTTAAACATCTCACTGTCACTCATATCTTCATCCTCCTGTAAAACAATCAAAAAAAACCAGCTGTAATCCACAAACTGCTTTCACTGCTTTATATTTGATGATGATGATGATGGATGACTACAACCTCCCGCATTCAAGGCTAACATGCTACCACATGGGCACAAAGGATGTTAATTTATTTGAGAACAATATTTGTTCTTAGTGACCTCACAAAATGATACACTAATAGCTCCATTTTCCAATGAACAACTTGACTAATTGTGTTTTCAAGATTCATAAACAGAGAGACATACCGACAGACAGATAGACAAACAGACAGACTAACAGAAAAATTTCTTTATCAGCCTATTCAAAAAATTTCTTTTGCAAGGTTGAAGAATACATGTACATTGCTATTCATAGCAAGATATCATATCACACAAGCCTACAAGATTTTCCTTAGACAAATTATTTTTCATATGCCATCATGGTCAATAGTTAGCAACTCGGTTTGTATTCTTTTATTTTTTATCAAACCAATTCTACAGTCCTTATATTCCATTTTGTAGTTCTGAGATGAACCTTAGAAATCAAAGGATAAGAAATTCAAACGGACCCTTCACTGGAATGCTCTACAAGTGAATTAAGTGCACTAGTGCAAAATATTTTGTTTAAAAAAAAAAGATTCAAAGGTTGGGGGAAAAAATCAATGGTGATGCTGAGAAATTTAAAAAAGGAGCACCTTCATTCATCACTAAAGGCAGGCAATCCATAATACTATATTAATACCTCTTCTTCATCATCCTCATCCCCCTCCTCCACAGCAGCAGGGCCTAAAGCCGATTTGATAGCTGCCCTGAACTCTTCATCAACTTCATCTTCCTCCTCCTCACTGCTATCTGTATCCTCATCAGCATCAGACTCTTCCACATCTTCTGTCTCTTTATCCTCCTCTTCTTCTTCAGCATCAGATTCCATTTCTTCCATATCTTCTGAAATTAAAAACATTTTTAAGCTGAAAATGTTGGCTTCAATTATTTTGTTTTCATAAAGGGAAAAATATATAATACTCACAATAGATATTTGAATTTGATCATAACTGTCTCTCATTTTATACGAGGGTCTAGATGGAGTTAACAGAATAGAGAATAATGGGCAAAAAGTGCAGAATAAAGGACAAAAAATTACAAAGAATAGAGCAAAATAAGCAAAAAAAAAAAGAAGAAAAGAATAGAGTTGAATTATAATGAATAGAGAATAAAAGGGGAAAAAAATAAAGGATACAGAAATGGCCTAAAGATTACAGAAATGAGGGACGTGTCACTCTATATAAATACCTAGTTTTGATTTAGAGCAGACCAGCATTTGCTTTTAGTCCAGGATCTTAAATGTAAAATTATTGTAAAAAAACAGCAAATACTATTTTTTTATGGACTTTAATCGGTGTGTTCCCATTTCGCCTTAGCTGGGAATTCCAGGTAAAAAAGGTAAAATAAATACTAAGGCGATATGGGAATTGTACTAAGGCGAAATGTGAATTTAGATGAAAAAATTAAATAAACAAATTAAACCTCTGTGATTTTATAACAATATAAACAACATGTAATTAGGGATTTTGTTTTCTCTTGGATTATTATTTTAATATTTATCTATAAAAAGACACTTTTTATGATTTAAAAAATTGTAAAATCTGAAAAAAAATCTACGATAAAACATTAGTCAGTAGGAAAGTTGCTTCTTTTATGCTTCTTTTAATAAAAGTTTCAATTGTATGAATTTTATGCAATTAGAAAATTCTTAATAATTCAATTATCCTTTACATTGTGCAACACAAAAAGTTAAAAAGAAAGAGAAAAAAATACATTCCCACAGATTTATTTACATATATGACAGAAATTTTAATAAAATAAATAAAATAATAAATATTTTTTTTAAATTGTGTTAATTATATATAATAAAGATATATCAAAACCGCACATCCAAACATATTTGAAATTATCAATGTGTTCAAGAAAGAGCAAGCATCTAACGAGGTAAAGAAAGTGCAGTATGCAGCAGGTGGCAAGATGAGGGGGAAAGCAAAGAAGTATAGAGAAATAGAAGAAAGATTCGCCACTTTGAAGGAAACCCTACACAATGGTACAACTGACTACATTCAGTATGGTGATGCAGCATCTTACATCCTCAAACTTGGAAACTAAATGAACTTTGAACATTCAGATGTGTACATCAGTGTCTTGTTTTTCACAATATGAACTATATGGAAATAATTCTTATGTTTTATGTATAAGTGCTTATTCTCATGCTATTATTTATAACATTGTGCTTTGAATTCAGTGCTGACTCAGAAATAAAATATTTGTTATGATAGTTTGATATTTGTCTTTATTTATTCATTAAAATATGAAACATTCATATCCAATTTGTCATCTCTAATAAGACTTTATTTACAAAATATACACATGAGTAAAAAAAAAAAAACAATTTCAGAAAAAGAAGAGCAACTATAAAATAAAATATTTAAAAAGTGGGACACAAAAAATCAAAAAAAAAAATATCTCCTTTTAAATAGTATCTCATGGTAGAATTTGACATCAAAATAACAAATATCAACTAATTGCAATACAAACAAAACATAACCTAATTACATTGTTTACAGAAGCTCCCATTTTGCCTTAGTTAATTCTTGTGTACCTGAAAATTTGTACTAAGGCGAACTGGGATTAATTTTATATAATTATTTTGACAGCTAAGGCGAAATGAGAATAAGCCCTTTAATCTACCCTGGGAGTTAACCCCCACTATCTCCTGTACCCTATGTGTGATGCCTACCACTAGCTATATATATAGATTACCTTACTTACTATTTAAATATATGGGAAATCAAGAACTAACCTTCATCATCCTCTATATCTAATACACTGTTATCTTCACCTGCCTTTTCCACTTTTAATACCTAGAAAAAATATTTAAAATATAAATAAAATGGTACATGTACCTTGAATGCATATACATGATATGTCAGTCCAAAATATTGACACGAATGCTTCTACCAGTACTATTATATAAATTTTGGTATACTGTGGATTCATTAATATTCGTTGGATACCAATTTTCGTGGATTTCGTGGGAACTTGGGAACCACGAATTTAAATGTTCGACGAACTACAAATTTTCTAAAGGAATGTATGTAAACTTTGCCAAACCCACAAAATTAAATATCTACGAAAATGCAAGTTTTCCTCAATCCACGAAAATTGGTACCCACGAAAATAAATGAATCTACAGTAAAATTTGAAAAGCAACATTGCAAAAAAAAAGAAAATTTACTCCCATCAACCTATAAAATCAAATAACATTTAATAAATTTGCTGTGTCCAAAGTGCTTTTCTGGATTTACCTTCATCAGAAATGCTTAAAGCCCAAAATTTGAAAATCAAGGATGTATAATGCTTCGATACTGGTGGAGCTATATGACCAAAAAAGAGGAATAGCTAAATCCAACTAAGGTCAACTTTGCCTGATGGAGTTGGAACCTTAGTCTCTAATTCTAATAACAGATAAATAAAGGTATATTCACAACATTTTGCAGCAAAAGATCTCTTTGTGTTAGATTGTTTTACACAAAATTATGAATATAAAGATATATATAAAGATTTCAAAATTACAATATTTTTATATTTATTAGTTTTCCTTAAATGCAAGAGATTTGATGGCCTTAAGCAAATAAGTAAAATTAAAAAAAAACATTATATGAAATGGTTACTTACTGACTACTGAAGGATATTATTTGGCAGATTAATACCATTTTAAATTTTTTGAATTCAAGGAACTAAAAATGTTGCATTATCAGACTTTTTCTTCTGGATAATATTTCATTATGAATATGAATATATTTTACAAGGTTCACATCATAATGAACATGTGTACTAAATTTCAAATATATGTGAACATGACATCCTGGTAAACCTTAAACCAAAACTTGAACCTGATATATATATGTGAACATGACATCCTGGTAAACCTTAAACCAAAACTTGAACCTGATATATATATGTGAACATGACATCCTGGTAAACCTTAAACCAAAACTTGAACCTGATATATATATGTGAACATGACATCCTGGTAAACCTTAAATCAAAACTTGAACCTGATATATATATGTGAACATGACATCCTGGTAAACCTTAAACCAAAACTTGAACCTGATATATATATGTGAACATGACATCCTGGTAAACCTTAAACCAAAACTTGAACCTGATATATATATGTGAACATGACATCCTGGTAAACCTTAAACCAAAACTTGAACCTGATATATATATGTGAACATGACATCCTGGTAAACTTTAAACCAAAACTTGAACCTGATATATATATGTGAACATGACATCCTGGTAAACCTTAAACCAAAACTTGAACCTGATATATATATGTGAACATGACATCCTGGTAAACCTTAAACCAAAACTTGAACCTGATATATATATGTGAACATGACATCCTGGTAAACCTTAAACCAAAACTTGAACCTGATATATATATGTGAACATGACATCCTGGTAAACCTTAAACCAAAACTTGAACCTGATATATATATGTGAACATGACATCCTGGTAAACCTTAAACCAAAACTTGAACCTGATATATATATGTGAACATGACATCCTGGTAAACCTTAAACCAAAACTTGAACCTGATATATATATGTGAACATGACATCCTGGTGAACCTTAAACCAAAACTTAAACCTGATATATATTTTAGAAAGTTCAAATTATAATGAATATTTTGTTCAAGTTTCAAACTGATGAGACCACAACTTCATGATAAACTACTGTATTTCAAAATTTTAACCTGGTACAGGATGGACGACAGATGCACAAATAGACCAGAAAATATAAACCCCCCCTCCCTAATTATCATAGACCAGGCATAAAAATAACCAACCCTTTATTGAAAGTATAAAAAAGCTGAGAATTCAGGACACATGGAATTTGCGTATTTGGTGTGTGTTTATGACATATATATTACTGTCAGATCATGAAGCACTGGTTTTGAAAAGGAAACCATACTGTGTTTAATACGTAACCCCTTGCAGTGGCCATATGCAATTCTAATTTAATTTTTTCATAAGTTTTTTTGAAAATGTAAGATTTTGAAACCATAATATCATGTGGCACTCAGGTACGTCTAATGTTAAGTTTTCTGCAGCAAGATGTTTCACCTTAGAAACATAGCAAAAAGACGAAACATACCTCTGTAATCAAAGACATTGCTTCAGGTGTAATGTGATTTGCCATACAAGCAAAGACATTATTAGCAACCATTCTAGCAAATGTTGACCCTTGTGACATCATGCTTAGCAACAGTTCTGTTAATACCTCAATCCAAGCAGGTTCTGAAGGATAAATAATACAATAAGATGTTTTGTTTTTCAAAAATCATCATACTAGCATTGAATAGAATGAATATTGGAGGTATGTTCCAAGATCAAAAAAACAAAAAAAGGGTTCATTATTTTATATTTTTGCACTAAAAATAATATATATTCTATTCATTAAAATGTGTATCTTCTTTTTCTATAAAAGTTCTTTTATCATCTTTCACTTTACCTATATCACCCTTCTCAGTAGTTCTGTAATTCTAATATCACAGCTTTGAGACTTGAGAAGAACTTATCAGCGACCTTACAATGTCTGAGAAATATAGATTCCATCACTGCAACAAGTGTGTAACGATATTTCTATAAATATCAGTTGCTCAACACGATGTGAAGCTTGTTTTTCCTCTTTTCGATGCGCTCTCTCGTTCACATATTGTAACTTGCAGCTCATATTTTACAATTTCAATGTATAGAATACCTGATAATCTAAACATACAGTAGTTATAAACAGGGTGATAATAAGAGGGTTACAACATTTTCTTAATTGAAGATAACATGTTACCTAGTGGTCAATTTCAACTTTTTATTAAATATCATCGATTTCTCATGCTACTATGAATAAACTGTTTGACACATAGATATATCTTGCCTGTGTAACATGTCAACTATGCATAAGTCAATGACTGAGGGTGGGACCAAATAATAAAATCTCCATGAAAATGAAATGTGCCAATGATAGTACAAATACCTGCCAAATACTATTCACAAACTTTAATAATTTTTTATGCAGCCTATGCCAATGCTGACAGCAGAAACAACATGTATAAGTCAAGCATACAGGACTTCAACGAGGCAAAGCAAAAGGATACTTTCAGTTATACCAGTGTTTCAATGCAGTTGCATTCAGATTCGGTTATTTCAACACTTGATTGGATTTGGTCTCATCAGCGTCTGACCTGAACATTTTTTTATAAACTGAATAAAATATTTTGCATTTCAAATTTTCAGTACAAATTTTACAAGGAGTAGCATATTACCTCTTTTAGGTGTCTTGCTTACAGATTTACGTTTTTTTTCTGATGCTTTCTTATAACAGACAATCAAATCCTGAAAGAAAATAATCAAGAAAAAGAATTGTAAGTTATATTTTTACAAATTTGAATGATTGCAAATACAGAATTCTTTGCTTTTTTAATGCCACCTGTGTAATGATAGAATGGTACAGTCTAGACCATCTACCATTCATGAAATAACAGTTTTTTTCCATACAGGGAACAAATTTTCATTAATGTTACACAAAAACCTGTACAACTGTTCACTTATTTTTTTGTAACTGGTCAATTCTATTATAATATAATGAGGAGCTGTTAAAACAAAATCGGGTGTAGAATCCAATATTGATTTGTTAGTTAATCAACAGTAAACTTCATGATAAAAACAGTTGAGTTCCACCTGAGCAATATTGATTTCAATATTTAGCAAATGTTTAAATGTTCTACGTAAAACTCAAAGTAAACTGAAAAGTTGCAAGATAATCATTAATATTTCAATATGAGCAACTGCCTTACCTAAAATGATATTTTTTGAAAAAGAGATATTATGCAAAGATTGTCATGTGAGTAAAATATCTTTATGGTTATTATTTTAAAAGATTTTGGACAAACAAGATTAAAATTAAAGGAGCAATGTTACTTTGCCAATTAAATCTTTGGGAAATGTATATTTTCAAATGAATACCATGGATTCATTATTATTCATGGGATATCCATTTTTATGAATTTTGTGGGTAATGGTGAACCAAGAAATGAATTGTTCAACGATGTATGCAGACTTGGCAAAACCATGAAACAAATATCCACGAAAAAACAATTTTTTCTCAATCCACGCAAAATTAGTACCCACAAAAAATAAATGAATCCACATTACTGCCAAATCATAATATTTCTGAGCTATAATACTTTTGATCAAAAGCATATCATAAATTTGATCAATTGTACTGGAAACCTTCAAAAGTTCTCCCTTTTCCTTCCACTTTCAGAAGTCTGGACGTATCACTAAACTTACCTGTAAGCCAGAATTATCTGTGCTGCCGTCAGTAAATATTTGTATGGCATTAAAAAGGAACAATAATTCAAATGCATGGTTGACTGCTGTATCTTCCTGTTAAATTATCAAATGCAGAATTTACAGTCAGTTCAATTATGTAGATACAAAGTAAGTGTTCAATTATATCCATCACAAAAAAGTTCTCCAAATGGGTACATATTTATGAAATCATAACCAATAAGATCAATTACTTTTTTGGTTCTCTTCGCTAAGATTTGGATTTATTTTAATTTAATTCTGTAAGCCATTTATAAGTTAGAGCAAAATATTGTTCATTTCTTATCACTTTTGACCTGCACTGATGTTTGCAATTAGAAGCATTATCATTTATAAGTAATAAAACTTTTCAAAATTTTCTTGGAGGTTAATTTATGTCAACATTAAAACTAAAAAAGTACTCCATTTATTATTTTTTTTTTTATTTATTTACTAAAACATTCAAAGCATAACACTGTTTCGTTTCTAATTTACTTACTTTACTATGTATTTCTTTCAGATGCTTGAAAACCGTATCCCAGTCTGCTCTTGCCTGTGAATAAATGTCAGAACAAATTTCACAAAAAGAATAATTTATTGGAGGTATAACCAATCATATACTCAAACTAGTATGCAGCATTAACTTGCAATAATTAAACTCAAATTTCTGTTGACAACAACAATCACAATAATAAATGTCCACAATAATTTCTGAATTTACAGTAAATGAATGAATGGACTAAGAGGAGGACAGACAGACAGACGGACTCCTTATCACTATATACCTCCAACTTCAGGAAAGCCAAGGTTATACAAAATATGCCTTTCCTAATCTACAAAAAGAAACAGTTGACAGCAGCTTTAAAACATTTGTACTTCAGAAAGAAAAACAATGTGTGTCCACAGATACCATGCCCCTACAGCCCTAATTTTGCACATAATTGGGATGTTTTGATAAATCTTGATAAGACAACAATCTAACAACACCATAAAAGCAAACAGACAGCTCAAAGACAATACTGCCTGAGGGCATCTCAATTTCTGTAAAAAAAATAATTTTAAATTGTCATTATTGATTTACATGTAAATAAAGTTTTTTATGGTACGTATTTTGCATTTCTGTTATAACTGCAAAAATAACAAAACTTAATATTACAAAATCTGTTATCATTATTTTCAGATAACATCACAATTACCTTATCACGCATCAGTTTGACTAGGGCTACAGTATTTGTCTTGTCATCTAATAAAGTCTGAAAAGTAAACAAATTCTAATTATTTTGGATGTTTACAGTGTAAATTTGTGGACAAATATTGCTATCAGATGTGTTAAACAAAACCAGCACTGATTATAAAATATATAAACAAAGACAAACAAAACAAGCACTGACTATAAAATATATAAACAAAGACAAACAAAACCAGCACTGACTTTAAAATATATAAACAAAGACAAACAAAACTAGCACTGACTATAAGATATATAAACAAAGACAAACAAAACCAGCACTGACTTTAAAATATATAAACAAAGACAAGCGTTGGTAACCAATATATAAGCAAAGTATCTTTTTCATGCTTTAATTTCCCAGTGCCAGACATTAATTCAAAATTTTTACAAATATTTCAGCTAAATTATTTTCTTCATTCAAGAAACTGAAAATGTATCTCATTCAGAGAAAGCTGAATGAAACAAAATTAAACAAATATTGATTATCAAATATGCTAAGGGAGAGTCATGGCTGTATTAAATTAAAGAATGCCTTGAGCCTGGTATGATATGTAATATATAACAGTTTGATTAGGGCTTACTTTTTCACTGTATTGCAATAATTCAGCAACAATCAAAATAAATATTTTAAGACAATTCAATAACACAACTCTATTACACTTATGGTACTTTAATACTTTAATACAAACTTTAGGAAAAATGCAGACAAAGAAAAAACATTATCAAATTTACTGATCTCCATTTCAAATTTAGGCTTATTTGGACCAATGCATTTGACAAAACCGAATAATTGCCTGATATCTCTTTTGATCACATTTTAATAACATCTGAATACGCTTTCTGAAAATATTAACATACCCTGTCGTTTGATAAAAAACAAATTTATTTTGACATCCCATCCTTTGAGTGAAGCAATAACAGGGAGTTGCCAGATTTTAGCACAAATAGAAAATTGCAATAACACTTAGGTGCAAATAAACATAGTGCATAAACAATGCCCAAAATTACTTTCTGTCACTCAGTAGATAATCCACTAAGTGTACTTTCTTTTATTACATCTAATTAAGTTAAATCAATCAGTCCAGAGTTTCAGTAATTCCACCCTTTTACTAAATTTACTGTAATTTCATGTATTACAATAAAAACAGTGTCTCTGGTATTAGAGCTCATAGATTAAACCTTTATATATCCAGTTTAAATGGTGGATTTTGATATCTCCCCAAATTTTTGGCCACCAAAATTTAAGTTTACTACTTACCTGTACATATGTGGCCAGAAGATAAATTGTATCTTTGTATGCATGTACTGATAATGACTTGGAATTTTCTGAAAAAGAACAAAAATATTAGATAAATAAATTAACACAATCACTTTTCAAGTTTCTATTTGAAAAATGGTTATACTGTAAATTCAGAAACTTTTGCAATGTTTTTATATATCATTCAGAGAATTTGGATGTGATAAGTTTAAAAAAAAAAGACTCTGATTTTACATTTTGATAGCATTATTTACAGGCAATATTTCCTGAAATCACAATAATTAAAGCTGACATTTTTGTCAATTGTTCAGAATTCACAATAAAAATTGCATGTAAAAATTTCTGAATTTACAGTAGTTAATTAAAGTATTTGAACTCTCCAATAAGAACAAACTGTATTGTACTGTGGATTCATAATTATTCGTTGAATACCAATTTTTGTGGATTTCGTGGGTACAGTGAAAACACTAAATTAAATGTTCAACTAATTACAAATTTTTCTATAGGAACGTATGCAGACTTAAGAAAAACCACGACACTAAATATCCACGAAAATGCAAGTTTTCCTTAAACCACAAAAATTGGTACCAACGAAAAATAAATGAATCCACAGTAAATGTAAATATATTTTAATAGATAGGTTGATACACCTTATCGTTATTTATTCCATTCCGGATAAGTTCTGAAATTACACAACTTTTTCATCCAGTTGAAGCTATCTGGAGCCCTGTTTAAACAATGCATCATGCATAATACTTTTTAAAGAGACCTGTTTAAACCATCGTAAACACTTCAAACAAAATATGTTTTTTCCTTTAATTTGAGTTTCAAAAAAGTGGATCATAATCTATCAAAGTTTCAAAGTGTTCGCTTTCTAAAGCTCATTACTGATGACCTTTGTTTTGGCACCGGATGACCCAAACAGGAAGTTGTCTAAGTGACTGTTTTTTCCGGATTGGACTAAATAGTGATAAGGTGTAATTGGTCAGCACACCAATTTAGATGTATAGATTAAACTTTGCATTTAATATTATTCCTTTTGATGTACTCCAATGACTATAGACATGATAGATATTTATAATTAATAGATATGACACTGAGAGCATTTTTACATAATTATAGTTTAAAATGAAACAAATAATGTTGCAGTTCAGGAAGGGTTATTCTTTTTATTTTTATTACATGTTGGGTTGAAGAATTTTATTTTATTTCAAATTTAAAAAAATATTTTTATATTAACTAGAGATATACTCACCAGTTTTGAAGGTAATTAGTTGTGTCAGAGATTTATGTAAACTATCTTGGAACTGTTTCCTTATCTTGTCCGGCATTTCTTCACATTTATGGTTACACTATAAAGCAAATAAAGAGGTCAGATAAACTACAAGAAGGGAGATAATGTAATAGATACTAATTAAAGTTTCAGGTCTGAACTACATCATACTTATATTTTAAATCCTATTGTTAAAATCATCAGTATCAGTAAAATTGTAGAATTATTTAGTCAGAACAACATGTAAACAACAATTTTAGTTGATTTGTATAGGGCTAAGGACCACTTATAATAAACAAAGGCAAATGAGGGTAAAATTCCAAAGTAGAAGGATTGACCTCCCTGTCAGGAAATTGGTCTTTAGAGGGAGATTCAATACCAGAATTTTCAATGAACTCACGAAAGGAAACCCTGGCACTGAAAATCAATTATCTCACCTCTAGATAATTGGGTTTGAATTTTATTACTTAATGGACATACCCAAGTATTATTCTGCAACTGTGTGAATGTTCATCCATAACAGTCTAGCTGTTTAGGAGGAGTCTGCTTACAATAGACTGTTACCGCATATTACAACATTGAAGTAATTAAGTTTGATATATATGTCCCATAGACACATAGGTCCAAAAATATATTCCTTCCCCCTTTGACACATAGGGCCAGAAATATATACCTTCCCCCTTTGACACATAGGGCCAGGAATATACTCCTTCCTCCTTTGACACATAGGGCCAGGAATATACTCCTTCCCCCTTTAACACAATAGTCTGCACTTTTACACCCCAATAAAACTATTAAAGTAGCATTTATTTCTTAAGATAGAACCATCGATCATGTAAAGATATCTGACAGAAATCCACCAACACAATATAACCAAAAGGACTTCTGAATGTCAACATACATGTTTGATAGCTTTTGATTCTTTAATGACTTTCCAATATGAATGCAGCATTAAAAACTCTAGCAATTGTAGCTGCCATTTGTGGTCAGCAGCTGTGCTTGATAACGTGACCAGAGTCCGTAGGTGAATAAGCATGTGTAATGATGTCATCATACCAATAGGTCGCGGATCGACTGACCTGAAATATAAAATGATATTACAATAAGTTATTTACATCCATCTCATACATTAATTAAAACCGCTTCAAAGCATACTCCTCTGATTGGAAGTTTTTGTTCAAATTAAAACAGGTGTTCCATTAACACAGGATAAACAAGTGAAACTGCAAGTTACTGCTCACTGATGATACCCCCGCCCAAATATTTGACGGTAAACAGGAAGTTCGTGAGTGATGAATCTGAAAACACATCACACGGTATAGCTGACTTATATAAACCCTGAAACCAAATTTCAGAAATCCTTGTAATGTAGTTCCTGAGAAAGATGCGAGGAAAAATATTCATGGGACGGACGGACCGACTGACGGATGGATGGACTGACAGATAGATGGACTGACAGATGGACGGACAGGCAGAGGTAAAACAGTATACTCCCACTTTTTTAAAGCGGGGGTATAATCATTATTCATTGTATATGTATTGGCTAATAATTATTGTCAAGAGCCTGTAATCCAATGGTTGTTGTTGATTACTATTTTCAATAATTCTTTTTCATTTTTTGCTTTTAGCATAAATAATGGTGTTGGTCTTCTCTTTTAAATTGTTTTACATTTATCAATCCTTGCTTTGCTCATTAATGAAGGCTGTATGAAGACCTGTAGTTGTTCATATCCTTGTTACTATATATTGGCCTTAGATTTAGTGTTGATGGGTTGCTGTTTAATGTAGTTTACCCCATATTTGTATTTATTTAAACCATTTGGACTCCAGTCTGGTGTAATGCATTGTTTATTCTTTTGGTCTAATCTTTGTACTGACTGTCTGTACCTTAAAAGTATGTTATTGGTATATCTAATGACCAAAAGTGTGTAGGTCAGTATGAATTCTGATGAATTTAAAATTCAATGTTAAAATTATAGATTACCTGATTTGCTGAATCAAGGTCTGCATTAAATAATTCCCATAATCCTTTGCTGCTTCTGCGCTCAACTGTCAATGAACATTAGATTTAAAATAAATTTGGCTTGTTTACATAAAATATATCAAATTAATTCAAAACACATTGATTTGGTCAATGAGCTCAAGTTTATAACTAAAAAAATTCAAACTTGATCTGTGTTTTGTGGTTATAAGCATTGTGCATAAGTTTCATAACATTTGGTTGAGGCAAACTAAAGTTAGAGAACGGAAATGAAAAATTCAGCAATTTTTCCATTTGTAAAGGGGTAGAATGGTAAAAGTGTCGCCACCAACAATCAAACTTGATCTGTGTTATGTGGTAATAAGCATTGTGCATAAGTTTCATAACATTTGGTTGAGGCAAACTAAAGTTAGAGAACGGAAACCAATTTTGGGACGTACGTACGGACGGACAAGGGTAAAACTTAATGCCCCAACCGCTATGGCGGGGGCATAAAAAGAATATATTTTCATCATGCAAAAAGAGGTATTGTAATAAATAATTTCTGAGGTATTACAATTGATGTTGAACTATATGGTATGGGTTGAAGGTGGCCTATAGTTGGTAACATTGTCATTTGGTCACTGGTGGATAGTTGTCTCAATCATACCACATCTTATTTTATTTCCAGTACATACCTGAAGTACAAGACTATCCAATGTTTTGGTTGTTTGATTCCCAGGAAACCCTTCTGTCTGTACAATACATTTCATGATAGCTATTTGTATATCACTGTTGTCACAGGATTTCATTACATTAACAAATTCACTGCCCTATAATAACAAAAAATATAAAATTTGGAAGCTTGCTAGTTATATGATCCACAAAAAACATGGATAAAAATTCAAATCTATTTTCAATGTAATAAGATATCATCTTTTCTATTCTATTTTATCAATATTTGATAACTGATGCCAATGAAATAACAAAACTCAAAAGTCACAAACCAATACACAATTTATTTTTTTATTTACAACAGAAGCTGTGAATAGTTTTGTGTGAAATAACAACCTGAGGCTTACAGAGAAAACTTGCTATACAAATAAAGACAACATTAGTCATATTATATATCAGAATAAAATTTCATCTAAAGATTTTGTAATGCCAGATCTTTGATTAATTCACTAATTTTCCTTAAGAACTGAATCATGATAAAGTAACAGATGAACAGTTGTCAGTTGTCAGATTCGATTTCCACAAAATATACAAAGGAAAATTGATTATGATAAGGCCACTTTGTTTGCTCCTTGATCATGTTGATTCAAAAATCAAAGAGTGTATAAGTTTATCAAATAACAGCCTAAAGATTTTCATAAGATTTTTTTCTGTAAAGTATTGTTATTTATATCTTTGAATTTTTTCTTACATATTTGCTTAGAGCTTAAAACTGCCTGCATTTAGCTATTCTTACCAAAGTTTTAGTTACTATCAGCAGGGGGTTTAGATCCCTTAATTTTCCATCAACATTCTTTACCCATGTTTTGACTGTCTCTCGTGACAAGAGTTGTCTCATCTGAAAAAAGAAATGAACTTCTCTTTCTATTTTGATATTAAATTACCATGGACTAATTCAAATTTATCAAATGTTACATATGTAGTCACTAGCCTATGAACTATGATGATGTGAGTTTGAACCCTGATAATGACAAGGCCATTTCAATTCTGATCCTAACTGACAAGGATTACCAGTTTTACTGCCAGAGAATGAGGCTCTCTCAGGGTACTTCTGCTACCTACAACAATAAAAACTGGACAAAAACTACTAAGTATGGAAACAATTCACATAGATGGTATTTTAATCCTAAGATTTCAATTGTTTATGTCTGCACACTCTTTTTGGTATGCATGGTTCTGATTTTAAAACTAGAATTGATTACACAAATTATGTAATATTTTTCCCTTCCTGCTCGTCCTACCCACATCACAATACTATAAGCTAGTTTGGTCTTCGGTCACTTTATACTTGATGAATAAAATACTGTTGATCATTTATTTTCTAGGGCACAATTGTCATGCAATGATGAATAAATGTTTTTTTCTGGATACTTAATTTTGAGGTTTTACCAAATTCTGCATAAAAGCCTATAGAAAATGTGTTCTACAAATTCAAACATTTTTGTGATGTTTCTATTATTGAAAAAATTGGGACAGGGATAGGTCTTTCAAAACTAAAAGCTTGCATTTTTAGTTTTGATAGGAAAGGAAAACAAATAAATGTACTGTAAACAAAGCACTGAAAGCAAAGACTGATTTACTTAGGGAAACCCTAAATATAATCTTGATGAAAAAAAAAATTGGAGGTGGAAATATATCGAAAGTGTTAATGAATCCTAGCAGGAGTTGTGTATTGTAATGGGTATCCCCCTGGTAAAACAAGGACAAAGTCAATGATTTTCTAAAGGATAACAAAATATTAATTTGGATAAAACAAAATATCAGGAGCAAAATAACATTATATGATAGAAATTTTAAGAAAATTTTATGAAATTCTGATGCGTCTCAGTTGAAGCAGAAACAAATGAGAACTGTTATGTTCAGATATGTCGAAGTCCATGTCATGCGTAAGAAAATCCAGAAAATCATTTGGATATGAACAAAAGGAAGATGATGCAAAAACTATATCATATGAGTTAAGATTCTGTAAATTTTTTATTAACTTCTTTCAAGCTGTTCAGAAGCACCTGTGGGTTAAAAAATTAGAGGGAATGATGAACAGATAATTGATGGGCAAACAGAACACACCTAACACTATACACTGCCCCTTTTAAAAAGGAAAGATAAGTAGATGTTTAGTAACTAACCTCATCAGCTGTTTTGACCAAGGGAAGTAACTCTAACAACATATGGAAACCAAGGTTCAATAGTTTGACCTGTGACTTGCCAAACACAATCCCTGTAATATAAAATAAAGTTTCCATTCAAAAACATAATTCTTAAATTCAGAAAAAAATACTGAAAATGTCATATATATTTTTATTTAAGTATGAAGATAATCAGCCTTTTTTCTTTCTACTTTTAATTACTGTAAATTCAGAAATTATTGCGATGTTTTTATTATTGCGAAAAATGCGACAGGGTTATAATCGCAATAATTTAAACTCGCATTTTAAAACTTTGTACATGAATTAAACAGGATTTTTCACAATATCGCAAAAATTAAAATCGCATTTTAGTCTAAAATGACAAAATCGCAATAATAAATGCACGCAATAATTTCTTAATTTACAGTAGTTCTTGCATTTTGAAATACATTATTACAAACATTATCATTTACCATCAACATAGATATTTTAATTCTAAGATTTCTACTGTTTATGTCTGTTCACTCTTTTTGGTATACATTTTCTAATGTTTTTAATGAGCAGCATTCATTTCAGGAAATTCACAAAATAATGTTGTATTCAGCATCGAATATGCGCAAATACTAGCCAAGGTTGAAGACATAGTACACACAGCCAGTGTCTGAGCAGAAAGTTGATGAACCAGGGGTATGTCAAAGAACGTCTCGTCCTTTTTCTAAAAAAGTTCATCGGAAGGTACCAAGACCTTGTTGGTAAATATTCCGTATCAACTTCACAAATAATACATGATGGTCTTGAAGTATAGATTCTGCATACTGACGTTGTTTATCATCTTAACAACGTGTAATATTGTTCTTTCATTTGTCTTTGTTCTATTATTAATATTACTTTTACTGTTTGGTTTGTTTTCTGTGATATCCATTTGACGTGGCTAGGTACTTATACATCCCGTCAATGTGTTTGTATTATCTTTCATTTTTGCTGGTGTGTTTTGTATATGCGACTTTTTGTGTTTCTGTGGTTCTTATAACGTGACTCTGTACTTTAAAAGATCCCGTCATTATGTTATTGTTCTATTATATGTCATTATGTTATTGTTCTATTATATGTCATTATGTTATTGTTCTATTATAAATTTGAAAATACTTTGAACGACAAACGACAAATTTATTTTACTCCCGTAGTGGTATTAACCATATGTGGATTCTTAAAAATTCTAAAGAACTTCTGGACAATTTTAAATCTCGGTCTATTTCTGAAATTAATCCTAAAATAACTTTTGATTTTTTAACCCTGTATACCAACATTCCCCATGTGAAATTATAAAATTGTTTTGAATAAACATTGAATGACAAAATTTCTTCTTATGTGACGTTTACATTTTCTGATGTCAGACACGCGAAGCAATGAATGTGGTTTTTAATTTGATAGATGCTTTTGTTCTTTTTTGTAAATAATTGTTTGTTTTGATATTGTAACACAGTGATGACTGCTGTACCCATATTTTGACTATTTTATTTATAATGTCTGTTTTGTTCACGCATTGTTGTAAATATAACGGAATTTGATAAGACTGGCATACAAGTGAGAGGTTTAGCGCTATAAAACCAGGTTCAATCCACCATTTTCTACATTTGAAAATGCCTGTACCAAGTCAGGAATATGACAGTTGTTGTCCATTCGTGTTTTCCTCGGAGTTCAGTATTTTTGTGATTTTACTTTTTACTACCAATGCCTGATCTTACCCTGTCCTGCTTGCCAAAACTGTCCTAATGAGCATTTGTTGTGTACCAGTTCCTGGACAATGACCTTGTTGATGTGATGAATCACAGGATCACACGATGTTCCTTCCTGAGAAAAAAGAAGACATTCACAGAAATTAAAAGTACTATAACAATTGTTCTTCACTTCATCAAAAGAAAATCAAATCTTAGTGATTTCATGTAGTAGCACTTTTTTCTATTCTATTCCTACACCAGACAGTCTGTGATAATTTTATTGACAATTTTTCTAGATTTAGAACAATTTAGAACTTAACATACTGTATAAATTACTTATCTAGTGTAGAATACTGTAAGCTAAAGGGCTTATGATAATGAACATTGTTTGGTGTCTCATTGACATGTGACAGACAGATACATCACATCTCCTTTTGTCATATTCTTATAATTAAATTATCCCGTAAAGCAGTTTCAACTAGTACAATAAGTATTAAAATGTATGATATCGTACAAATTTCATTACACATGTTGGTATTTGAACTGGAGTTGACTGGTTCAAAATCAATAATAAAAAAATATTATTTCTTCACATACTGAACATATCCTGTAAGATTTTTAATTGTAAATCAATCCCATTTAAATTCTAAAAAGAACTGTTTATGCAAAGTCCTAAATTACCCTCAATCTAAAATGTTGGGAATAAATTTTATCTTAAATATATCCTTGGTCAATTACAACTAAAACTGTTCTATGTATATTTATGTTTGTTATGGAAACCATTACTCATCAGTTATTCCTCAAATATTGCAGAAATTATGCAAGTACGATTAGATTAGACTTACTGGTATATAAAAAGCAAAATATCTAAATTGCTCTCACTTTATATCAATTTTGATTGTAATTAAGATGTTAAGTATATATCTTTATACCATTTGTTTGAATCTAAATAGCTTGCTTCATACCTAAAAGTTATAACAATGCCAGAACACCATTGCTCACCTTTGGCCTTTTATGGGGATTGTTTTCCTTAATCTTTAGTTTTTTGAGGACTGTTGGTTGGTCTGTTTTTCATTTTGCCTGTGTTGTTCAATCTAAATATGGTTTTTGATTTACCTGTGATATTTTCTTACCTTTTTTTTATACAAACATTAACACTTGATACTAACCATTAAAATATTCCATAATTTAGTGAAGTGATCTTCTTTAAATAATTTCTTTGTCTTCCAATGTTCTTTAAGAAACTGTTTGTTTACCAATTCCTACAAGTATACAATGTTTAATTACTGTGTAAACCAACTAATTTTCAGAAGCAATTTATTAACAGGAAATTCACAAGTAGAGATAATAAGCAAAAATGTATACTACAGGAACTGTAACTGTAAATTGTCATTTTATATCAAGTTATGGAAAAGGTTATTTGAACTCCCTAATTTGTACACATATTTCGTTACCAGACTACACGTACATTTCGTGTGCAGTCTGGAAAAGTAATCAGAATAAGAAATGCAATGAATCTAATTTAATTTGACACATGTCCCACAAAATACCTCACACAATATGAGGTTCAACTGTAAATGTATCTGTGTGTATTATTGCTTGGTTTTCTTCCTTTTTTGTGAATGTGAGAGCATGGGTAGGGGGGAATGGTGTGGAGTCATGTGATTTTAGAATAAATAATATTTACAGAGTGGTGTTTCCTGCATGTTATCAATAGACTGAATACATCTGCTGAGCAGCCTTCCCATCCTGTCTTCAACTCTCCTTCTATCTCTGGCCAAGCATACTGCTCAAAATCTTCACTGCTGATCTAAAAATTATTTACATAAATGAAATGCTATTTACTTTTTCTTTCAAGAAGGCAATATTAATAAACTGCTTCGCTGAGCGCAGCTGGATACACCCGCAGAGGTCCAACCCTGAACAGTTGGGGCAAAAATGGACACAATATTCAAGCTTGATACGGGTCTGAATTTGTATTGTAATTAAATATTTGATATATTATAGGTTTCTGAATAAATGTAGTCAAAGAACTTGAAATTGGTTATATGAAAGATTTCTTGCTGTTGTGCAATACACTGTGCTGTTGCGTAATACTTAGTAAATCTGTTGTCAGACTATTAACAAATAAAATCTTATAACTCAGAAACATAAAATCGAAAATTTATAAAAGGGAGCTTACAAAAATAGATATAAACAATTTACCAAAGTTTCATAAAAATTGCTTTCATTATTGTCAGAAAACTGGAAAATCCCCATTTTTGTAATGAATAAAACCCCATAAATCGGAAACGTATAGTCTGAAATTTATAAAAATCAAAAGGGAGCTCATGTCGATCGAAATAAACAATTCACCAAAGTTTCTTGCAAATTGGTGAAATTGTTTTTGAGTTATTGTCTGAAAACAGGAAAATCCCCCCTTTTTTAATGAATAAAACCCCAAAACTCGGAAACGGTAAATCCGAAATTTATAAAAAAACGAAAGGGAGCTCACATCAATAGATATGAACAATTCACAAAAGTTTCTTGCAAATTGGTGAAATTTTTTTTGAGTTATTGTCTGAAAACAGGAAAATCCCCCCTTTTTTAATGAATAAAACCCCAAAACTCGGAAATGGTAAATCCTAAATTTATAAAAAACGAAAGGGAGCTCACGTCAATAGATATGAACAATTCACAAAAGTTTCATGCTAATTGGTGAAATTGTTTTTGAGTTATTGTCCGAAAACTGGAAAATCCTCCTTTTTTAATGAATAAAACCCCAAAACTCAGAAATGATAAATCTGAAATTTATAAAAAACAAAAGGGAGCTCATGCAATAGATATAAACAATTCACCAAAGTTTCATGCATATTGGTTAAAGCATTTTTGAATTAATATCCGACATGTTGACAACGGATGGACGGACGGACGGTCAACGGTATACCATAATACGTCCCGTAAACGGGCGTATAAAAACATGTTAATGCATCCATATCAGAAACATCCATAAGTATTTTGCAAGATATCTGGAGAACAAAACAGTATCCTGATTCAAAGAATAAATAAGCATACGTTCGCTACTTTCCACATCACATCTGCATTTTGAAATAGTCTCTAAAATTACTACCACTCACGATGTGGTTGGATGTACGTATGTAGTTTCTCTGTCAGAGGAAAGTAAAATATGATTAGAAGTTTCTGAAGACGCAACTCTAATGTTGTTGAAGTAAATGACATAATTAACATGCTGTAATTTTTTTGTGTACAAAGATGGTTATAGTCGTCAATAAAAGTAAATGTTTAGAAATTATCAAAGGGACAGGAGCCAATCATGAGTTTACAAAAATAAGCATTACAGCTCTTCTATAAAAGCATGCAAAGCAAACCTTTGATCAACTTGCTTGCTATGTTTGTTTGGATGTTTGTAAACAAAAGGTAGGTAGTCTGTTTCAGTCTGTTTACTATATACTGGAATTTGATTGGACAATAAACATTACCTTCATTGCATGTCAATTTTTATTGTCTAATCAAATTCCAGTATATACAAAACAGACTGAAAGGCTCCGCCTACCTATTGTTTGCAAACATCCAAGCAAACCTAGCAAGCAAGTTGATCAAAGGTTTGCTTTGCATGCTTTTATAGAAGAGCTGTAAAAGGTCTGAAAAAGTTTTGAATGCTACATTTTATATTAATTTAATGTATCGTTGTCACAATATATTTAATACAACTTTCATAATAATACTTTGAAAACAACAAATATACTTCAGTTGTGAACTTAAAAAAAAAATTAACTGTGTTTCCAATAAATACAGACGAAAAGTTATGAAACAAAATTTTTGAAACAAGGTGATTGCTGGTCATTTTTAGAATTTGAAACTTTGAAATATGATCCTATTGAGTATTTTTCTGTCATGCCTATTGAATATACAAAAATAGAATTTTCAATTGTTTCATCTATACCATGTATACAGCATCAACCAAAGTATTTACCTGTTGAACAATAAGACGGATGCCATTATAACAGATCTGTTTGAGGTACACTCGTTTCTCACTGACCCACAGTAATCCTCTAATTACTTTCTTTATAAATTGTCCATCTCCCTGTAATATATTGTCAATAAAAATATACAGATGAATTTGACAAATTAGAGGCCAAACTTAGAAATCCATGCACTACTGTCTTTAAGATGGTGGGTTTTGTTGAGTTTAAAATCTGATACAACAAAACACAAAACTAGGTTAATTTGTTTTCACAGAAAGAAACAATTAATCAAATAACATGAAATATTATTTTACATGGCAAAATCTTCAAAGGAAATTTAATATGTTGTAGTTCCCAACTTTCAAATTTTGCGGATATTTTGTTTCTCCATTGCAAATATAATATTGTAGCTGAAATTTTTCCGTATGTTCTAACTGAAATAAAGCTTTAATATTATATCCTTGATTAACAATTGTAAACATCATGAACATAGAACCAAATTTGTTAACAAGTTTTCAATCATCCCATTGCTACCCATTCAGTACTGTAAATTCAGAAATTATTGCGAGGTTTTTATTAATGCGAATAATGCGATTCCTTGAGTATCACAATAGTAAGAACTCGCATTCTGATATGTGTTACATATATCTGTACGCAGTTTTTCCTGATAATGCAATAATTAATCTCGCATTTTTTTGTCAATTCTTCAAAAATTGCAATAATAAATGCACGCCGCAATAATTTATGAATTTACAGTAATTTGATAGTCTTGTTGCTGCAAAGGGAAAGTTATTCTGACAATCAAAAGCTGTTTGCAACTGTCTAGAGCGGAAAAATAAAGTGAAATAAATTGTCGTGAATATCTAAAACTTGGATCTACTCCTATATGAACATGATGAAAACACCAATAAGATAGGAAAATCTCTAAGATAAATCGCTGTGAAATAGGTTAGAAAGGGCTAAATGTAAAAAAGTTTCCAGAAAAATATACAGGTTTACAGAATATATGTGTTGTAATACAAGAAAGGTGCCATGAAGCACTCTTGTCGTTGAATACTTGACTTTTGTTCAATATTGAGACAATTATGAATTTCAAAATTTGGACAAGTGGTTTTTACTTTAGGACTAATGAAATTTGGTTAACTGCTTGGAAATGACAAGTTGAAAAAAAAAGGCAATCTTCAGTTTTAAGTTTTGTCTGTGTATACATGTTAATTTGTAAAATATTTTGATACTACTTCTTCTCATCACTTCAAATGCTTCTCAATTTTCCATAGAAAAGTAAGAAGTGTGGAAAGATTGCCAATTAAACAAATATCTACCAAATACCTCAGGACAAGGATAACAATTAAAGATCACTATATGGCCTTCAAAAATGAGCAAAACCAATACCATATTGTAGTTTAAATCTGAAACAATTCAAAAGAGAAAACTAAGGCTTGTTAGATTTAAGATAATACTGTTAAATAAAAAGCATTTAAGACAGATGGCAACCAAAAACAACCAATGGACTACAGGCTGTTGGCTTGGGACATACACATAAAAAATGTGGCAGGTTTAAACATGCCTGCCATACATTTATAACGAATAATCAAGAGACAGCTTAATGTAAGATACCAGTACATATGTTATTGACCATTGTGCTGTAGATCACTAATACTTACTTGTAGAAGTCTTCCTGATTGTATCAAAGTCAAATAAGCTAATGATTCTCCTAAAAAGCTACTGCCTTTCTCCTAAAATTATATAAAAATGTCAAATCAAATAAAAAGCAAATATAAAGAACAGAATATTTGTCAATAGAACACCAACCCCTCTTGTTCTATCACATTTTAATATTCAGTGAACCACACAATCTTGAATCTTTATTTAGCCTACATTGTTAAAAATTGACATAAATTTATAAGATCTTCTTGGATTGATTTTTTCCATGTTTTTATACATGTACCAGTGTACACATTTTTTTTCAATCTGAAAATTATGTTTTGTAGTCATACATCATGTACAAAACCATGAAATGAAATATCAACGAAATTACAATTTTTCTTCCATTCACAAAAATTGATATCAACGAAAATAAATGAACCCACAGTATAGCAGGACACTTTTCTCTTCAACATTTATACAAGTTTTGTATTTTAAGATTCTGCATTAAACTTACCGCTTTAGATTCTTTCTTCGGTAACTTTAAATGTTTAGATATCAAATTTAAAAATTCTTCCACTGTTACTACATCAAACTTTCTCAGAATCTACAAGAAAACAAGTGCAAAAAATTATAAGAGTAATTTCCCTTTGAGCTCTGACAACTGGGAAAAATGTTTTAGATTTGTGACTTCAATTTCAAAAATCTCTTCTGTATACTGTATATTGGATTTTTTTTTTGTAAGTATCTATGTCTTTTATGAGCTAAAATGAACTTATGATTCAATATGTTGTCACATTCAGGGTTTTGTGAAATTGTTTCGTTAATATTTTTTTAGCTTCTATATACCATTTGTAAACATGGGGCTCCCACAGGGTACCCCCCTCAGGTCGCAAGGTCGCTTTTATATTCGTCGCAAGGTCGCGAGGTCGTTTTTAAGAAAAATGTACAGGTCGCAGGTCGTTTTTTCTAACATAGAGGTCGGAAGTCGTTTTTATATTAAAAGGATCCATTTAAGTCATTGTTGTGTCGATTCTTGTGTTATTAAACCAGGGACATATATCTTCCTGATTAAACCTTTTAGTTTTAAATTAGATATTTGGACATTTTGCTGTGCCCTTGGGTTCGGTTGTTCTTGTTTTGTTTGAGGCCATCCAGAGATGGCTGTCTGTAAGTGGGAAGTTCCTGCTCTATTGAAGTTCGTGTCGTCAGCTCTAGATTTATTGTTGTAAGGCATTTAATGATCAATATGTGATGTCTTCGTGCCATTAATCCATATCCGTTTTTTTCCATATTGAGACCAAAACAGGACTTGAACTTTTCGATTTTTCAGAACAGAAGTTTCAACCAAACATTCAGTATTTCACTAATCCAACACAATATTCATATTGGGTCATATTGAGCAAGTCCCCAAAACACTTATAAAATCACCGGGATGTAGAGCTGGATTTACCTACTGAGATACTTTGAACACGATCTAAAAGACTGATGCAACAAGGAAATGTCTTGAAGACGGGGGTGTCCCGCTCGGCGCTTATTTTCATTTTCGATTGAACTCCCCCATTTTTACACAGTTGTTAGTCCATATCATGATAAATAAAGAGTATGGTACAAAATTTCATGAAGATTCGACTTCAAACCTTTTAGGAAATCATCTTAATTGCAAAGGTAAACCAAAGTGTAACTGACGAACGAACGGATGGACGAACAGACCGAAAAACTATATTTACCGCAACAATGTTGTAGGGACATAAAACATGAAACTGATCATCAACCTTACTTGGATACATTTGTCTCTTTGGAACCACACACAGAGACGCTTGTAGCGAGTGCTCTATGTGCTAGTGATGACCATCGCCCATAGTGTCCATAGTGTATTTGAAGCAATAACCCAGACCAACTTAAATCTTTTTTAAGAAACAAAAATGGTCCAAAAATGATCATAACTTGACAATTTGATAGCTTATCAGGCTCTAGAAACAAAGAAACGAAGACTTCTAACAGACTATACATTGTAGATACAAAAAGGGTCACAAATAGTTCAAAATTGATTATCTGAAAACTGTATGTTGATTTAAGATGAAAATCAAACTTAACTTGTACTTTATAGTGCTAAACAATTGGGAACAAATGAAATAAATCTTTGATCCGTTCTCAAGTTTCCATCTGGAAACCACCATGGGACGGTCAGACAGATGGAAGTATGGACGGATACCCAACCACGTAATACTTCTCTACTGCGTGTAGTGGAGTAAAATAAAGTAGACAAAAGTGTGACAGATGGCCGGAAAAACAGTATGGCTGACCATGGTTGACAAAGGACCACAAAGGAAAACATCGCGCCCAAAATGGCAAGGTCGTTTTTAGCGTAGGTGAAGTCAATCTAGTTGGTAGCCATGACCAGTAGAAGACAAGACTTTATATTTTCATTACCTGACAAAGAGCAACAGAAAAGCCTTGTCGTGCTGTTTCTCTACTAGAGGCTAAACCTTTTACCAATCTTTTTACACTGTATTCCAATTCTTCTGACAATTCAGTCTGAAACGAGAATTAAAAGAAAATTTCATCAAAGCCTTTTATTAAGAAATCAGCATGATCAGATGGTATCAATGAGGTAGACCTTGGCTTAGATTGATTGATGGATTTATGTCTAGTGGCAAATTAAATGCATATTCAGGACGAGATCATAATAATGGGATATGACCCATACACATTATTCTGACTCTGTGCCTTACACTCTTTGCTCTTACTCCTAAATGCTATGTGCTCAGCAGAGAAGCAGCAAATACTAATTTTCAAGTCTTTGATTTGACATTGCCAGGGATCAAACGAACAACCTCCTGCATTCGAGATCACCTAGCCTAGGTGATTACCTAGGTTAAGAGATATAACTCTATAAAGAGGATCTGGATGGGCAATGGGTCCTTTATTTCTTTATTCTTTTATTTTTCAGGCCATTTTTCTCTATTCTTTATTTATTTTGCCCGTTATATTCTATTCTTAATATTTTAGCACCAACCTATTCTCTATTCTGATCAATTTTGCCTATTTTCTTCTATTCTTTATATTTTTGGCCCTTTGTACTGCACTTTTTTTCTTTTCTGTAAACCCCATCCAGACCCTCTATAAAGTCACTCTTATGTTTGGGTAAACCATTTATATAAATATATATTCTATCATGTTATGTGCTTCAAAGTAACACAGACAAGACAGGTTACTTTAGTTCTGTTTCACATGATTGATCTAAAAGCTTTGTTGAAACTGCAGAATATAAACAGATAAATGGAGAAAGAGGTTTCCCCCTTCACCAAGTTCAATCTGTGATGTGCTTATAAATGTAAAATCCATGATCATTTCAGAAAGAATTTATTTTGGCAGCCTACAGACCATGTGCAGACATAACCATGATAACACAATCCCTAATCAAACCTTCATTTGACCTTATTCACTCTATTGAGGAAATTTTAGCATCTACCACATCATCATATTTTATGCCTACAGCTCTATTTGTATACCTAAACCAGTTAAGAATTTAAAAGTTAACATCTTTCCTTTTCACAATCTGTTAAAAACTTTGGAAATAACTTACATTTAATATACTTTTAGATCCATTGGGTCAAGTATTTAATACAAGCACTTTGCAGACCAGTCATATTGGGTTTTTTCTGACTTGTGATGGTTCTCTTCTTTGTATACAAATGCAGGTTAGTAAAAAAATCTGATGTTCAGTGTTTGTCAATGGCACAGGAAAATCAGTTCAACATGTTTAATGAAAAATTTAGTGGAACTGTTCTTTCCTAAAAGTACCAATCATGTGACAATAGCTCAAAATGATAACAATATAGTAGTTTTAATTGAATGATCTGACAAAATGGATCTTTATATAATCTGGGAACAGTATATCTAACGGGAAATGAATCTGATAGGCTTTTCAGTATAAAATTGATAAAATCTCGAACTTTACAAGACTTCGCTAGATTTATTGATTTTAGAAGCGTCTGATTGAAAAACTATCGAATCTGCACTATAAATTAACCACATAATTCCAAACGTTCAACAATTACAAAGAGTTGATAAGTTTTATCGTAAAGTTGATATATTTTGTCTTATAAAATGACCAATATAAGTGTGATTTATTTGCTGTGAAGTGTTTTATAATGGTTTGTGAAATTTTGCGGTTACTGGGAATGCCATCGGCGCCATTTTTTTATTACCTAGTTTGCATTCTACACGTTCTATACCCTTCTGTGATGAAATGAATGTGACTATTAAAATTTGAAGTGACAGATTACAAGTTCGATACACTCAGGCATCACTTATTACTTAGTTTGAATGACATGTTATTGATATCATCAGAAATTATTAAGATAATAGCGAGTACGTATTTTACATATGTCTGCTTCCATATCGTGTCATTTATTAACTATGACCCAACAATAAAATTGGCTATAACTAGGTAGTGTCAAGTCCCGTCAATACATGATGTTCCTGATATAATTAACTACTGCTTAAAGATAGGGTATTTTAAAAATATTTAACAGATTTTGAAAGAGGAAGTTTATAAACTTTTCAATACACATGATACATGATCTTCCAATAGGTGCTTTTTCCCTGAAAAATTTGATGTCACAAAGCAATTATCTTCATGTCACAAATTATGTTCCATGATGCGATTTCTCCCAAATGACCTCAGTTTGACCAGAGCGGTTCATATATGATTTCAAAACTGCAAACTCTTTTATTGTTACCTGCTTGGGGTGTACAGTACAGTGCTGTAGTTGGTAATTATCTTCTCAAATACAGTTTATAGGGGATTATGTGGCCATAAATATCAGAAAACTGCTCCAGACGAATTCTAGTCAAATGGGCACCTGATTAAATCGACATCTGGTCAAATCAGCACCCGGTAGAGTCAAATCGGCACCTGGTTCAATCGGCATCTGGTCAAATCGGCACCCGATGTAGTCATTTCGGCACATATGTTAAATATGTTGAATATATATCTTTTTTTCAGTATTTTAAGCAAAAAGATTAAAATAAAGAAGGGGATGTCCAGAAATATTGACTTATTAACATTTTTTGGTGGTTCTGTATGTCTTTTTTTTCGTTCAACTTAATTTATGTGTATTCAAGGTATTGGATATTTGTTTTAACCAGTTGAGCATTTTGTATGATTGTTGGTTTAAATGCTGTTTAAACTTTCCTGAAATACCACCTTAATTGCTGATTATTTTGCATGCGAGTTTGATTAGTGATAGTTTTCCCTTTTATTGCTTCTTATAACAACAGCTTTGGTAATGGCTTCATTGTTTTTTTATTTAAGTTTTTGAAGAAAAAACATCAATAACTACCTGTATAGCGTTAAAACAACAAACTTGTTGATTATTTAATTGAAAAGAAAACTAATCAAAACAACAGTCATAGAATGTTGAGAAAACTTCAAACAATTAACGTATGTATTCTAACTGCTTGATGATTTCTAACGATGTAATGTACGATAAACTCCAACCCCATTTTTTTACATAAATAAAATTAGAAAGATCATTCATGTCATTTAAACATTTTAAGAATTATTTATATACAAAAATGTATATTATATAAAAATATTATTGAATGCCGAATTGACTTTAAATGGATGCCGATTTGACTTTTTCTATGTGTGCCGATTTGACTTGTACCCCTCCAGACTCAAGAGTCCCAAAACGGCAAAAGTGATAACACCTGCCTCATAAATTATTATAGTAGATAAATGGATCCACTCATTGAAAGCAACATGATATCACTTCCCATGAAGACTTGAAAACAACAACTATATTAAAAATATCAAGTCTAGTTGGTCTTCTTTTTAGAGTTATTCAAATTTAAAAATTGGGTACAAATTATTCGGCCTCACACCTCAGTGTTTCGTTTTTGCTTTATCTTCAATAGAACCACCAGTTGATCTGTTGCCTTGATGATTTCTGCAGAGCTGGATTCAGATAATGTCCAGAATTTATCAAGGATTTGTTTGTCGATTTTTAAGGCTTTTGTTTCATTATTTTCTGTCATAATGTCAAAACGTGCGATTTTTCTTTCCACGTGCAAATGTTCTATAAGGGTTTTGAAACTTAAGGCAAAATTGCCCTTATATAAAACGCTTTAATACATGTCAACAATAAAAACTAAAAGAAAACCCAAAATCGGATACTAATTGCCTTTGTTCCCTTACAGAACTATACATGGAAAAACTAAATACCGTCATAAACTTTTACAACAGCGCACAAAAACTCACCCAGAGACATACCATGATAAATAAAACAAAAACGAACAACAGAAACATCGCAAAAAAGTTGACTTATACACTATAGGTCTTATCTTATAGCATTTTGTAAAAATAATTAGATCTGTTACGATTGCCATTGAGACAACTCTCCGTAAACTTATAATAGATACCAAAATTGAACTTTTGTACAATCGAGTAAGACGTGTGTTTCGTCTACATAAGACTCACCAGTCTCAACAGATGATAGAATAAAAAAGGTTAAAATGGCCAAAATAAACGTACGAATTAGAAGAGCATCGAGAATCCAAAGTTTTGAAAGGTTTTGCCAATTACAGCTAAAGTTATCTATTCCTGGCCGGGTAGAAAATCTTTAGTATTTTGATAACATCAAAGTTGTGTAAATAGTTAATTAATAATTCTAACCATATCAATGATACTTCATGTCAACACAAATGTGCTGACTACTGGGCTGGTGATACTCTCGGGAAGGAAACCTCCACCAGCAGTAGTATAGACCTAGTGGTTGAAAATAAACTCATCATAGATGCCCTGAGGATAAATCAGAGACCAAATAGTGTAGAAGTTAGCAACAATAGGTCATCAGGTCTTAGTAACAATATCCGTGACACAACGAAATCTTTCACTAATGATACTAGAGTGATCCTATAGAAACCATCACACAAATTAAAACAACATAATGTATATAATAGTGTTCCACTCCTAATTTGGAGTTTTCAACATCTATCCAAAAACAAAGATGGTATCATTTTTTTTTGTCTTGAATTACATCGTGTTGGAAAAGTATATAAATATAGTTTTTTCTCCAAATATAAACACATATTGAAGTAACTCTTTTATGGAAGGGATTAAATTCGGCAATCTGAATCAAACAACATTTCTCAATTTAAGTAGTTCTTATATATATAATATAAAAATAAGAAGATGTGGTATAATTGCCAATGAGACAACTCTCCACCAGAGACCAAATAACAACCATAGGTCACCGTATGGTCTGCAATAATGAGTAAAATCCATGACTGCATAGTCAACTTTTTTTCTTCAAAAGACAAAGTGTGTGTACATCCCCTTGGGAATCAGCTTTTGTGTAACCAATGTTATTACACCATGCAGTTGAAAAAAATAAACTTTTAAGATCAAAGTCATAAGAAAAATTGCTATTCAGTGTTGATTAATGATTGTTCTAATACTCACTTCTGTAATTTATGTTTTTATCATAACTTTCCATACAGTATATTGACAATAGTCTTCATATAGTCTAATAAATCGTAATCAAATTATTTGCAATATACTGCATAATCCGACCCCTACTCTCATTAATTATGATAAAATGATTTGAATATAAATATCTTATGTAAAAGGCATATATATTTCGATATTAATAATAAAAATAGATATTGATATTTAAAAAAAACATTCGAATAAATATCTCATCTGATTAGATAATATATTGCAATTGCTTCAAAGACTCAATTTTGATCGTCAATCATTGTTATTATTCGTCAAATTCATTTACTACAAGTCACATACAATATATATCACTTTTATCTTATGTAAAATAAAAATCAGATAGGGGCCGGATCGACTTTGAATATGGAACGGATCGACTGCATAGAGCCGGAACTACTTGGGACAGCTCTACTTTGGACCTGGATGACATGGAAAAAGACTTAAGATACAATCAGAGACAAATAATATCTCTGATACAATTAAAGTACCGATTTGGAATTACTCAGAGTAACTGCAAGCTAGTCCAATGGCCAACAATAACGTATATAATATATTTCCAAGCCTAAAAATATCAATAAGTACACATTCAATAGACTTAGGTAAAGACTTCACAAATAGACTGCCAAAATAATATTTACAGAATGTGTAGACCGTAAATGATTATATAAGCTGTAAACCAATAATACTAGTTTATGTTTTAATTTATTGATAACTCAGGTCAATGTTTGTACCTATAACAAAAACAATGTTTTTAAAAAGAGCACCTGTTCTGTATTTGTGTAAACCTTAAATTGACGAATAGTCTTACTATATAAATCCTTGATTTGACAGAGTTAATTTATTAGAGGAACGTTGTTGTGCTTTATCATAGATTAATTTGTATCGGTCTTAAGTGTAAATCTCCATAGATTCTTTATAGACACAATGTAATTAACCTGTTCATTTTCAACCGGATATAAAGATAAGGGAGATAAGCTTAAAATTACGCGCTGAAATTTGAGGTTTTTTTTGTAAACACCAGAAGCTAAAGAAAAATGTGAAAATGACAGCAACTGTTCTTAAACCGCATAATAAGCTACCACAGTTTAACACAGTTACAGTTTTAGTAAATATATTGATTATATTTAAAATTTCATAAAAAAAACGTGAAATGTTCATACAGTCGATATAACCACAGCCACAGGCACTTGTCCTGGATTTTTTTTTTACCTATACTTAAAATTATAAATTGTGTATATAGCACAATATAATGATCCAAGTTAAATGTGTTATCCATGTTACACAATTAGCTAAGTAAATCTTGTCACAATTCCCCATTTTAGAATCTATATTCATTCTAGCTAAAAAAATATTTAAAGGGTATCACACTAAATTTTGTTACAATTGCTATCAGTGTCCTCATCATTGTCAAAAAATATCACAAGGACCTAAGAGCTATATCATGTTTATACGGTTCCATATGATATGAATTTGAAGAATATGAAAACAAGGGAATTTAGAATATAGAAGTAATTGCGATTGCTTACATCATGTACATTTTAACCTGAACATGCAGGGATAGAATTAAGTTTAAAATGTAGTTTAGACCACAGGGCTAGATCAATTATAGTTAGCCTAGCACTGACTCAGAAAGCCTAGCCGTGAATCACCGGTGAGGTTCGCAAAACGTCCCGAACTTGGAGGGTATGGGAGCATGCCCCCCCCCCCCCAAGAAAATTTTTCATGATTACATGCAAAATCCTGCGATCTGTGTGTATTATAAATGTAAAAAATTTTGTCTCAAAGCCTGTTTTGGGGGTATCAAGAAAGTAAATAAAAGGAAAATTGTTAAAATAATTATTTTTTATTGATTGTTATTTTTTTGTTTATTATAAAATACCCATATATGCAACCTCACATGCCATTATGCCTGATAGGACCTGACACTAATGACTATGTTAGTGTTTGGCAGTTAAAGCTTGGGATGGTCATCCTAAGATGCATTATTTTAATATAATCAAATATACAAACTATTCTGACATGTATCTAAAATGTATCTCAAGGTCAAGAAAGCCTTGTGATGTAAATTTTTGACCTTTTAGTTACATCAACATCTAAGAAGACATTGTATCATTTGAGATTTCAAATGTGAACTTAAATAAGCATGATTAGGGGTTACATTTTTTTGCCAGATGAAAAAAATCTTTAGTTTCATCTGATGTTCCATTTTATATTGTGAATCCATCGTCCCTGTATCCATGGTATCTGCCTTTTTAGGATATTTTGTCTTAAAATTGAAATGCAGAAACTACTTGATTAATTGTTTCAAATATAAGTATGTCGCAGATTTCTGTTGAAGGGACTGCACCAAAAAAAATTGATGTACCTTTTATTTGTTTATATATTTTCCCATCAATTCAAATTCATTGTTTTTTAAAATGAGTTTCAATAGATGTATTCAAACATTGACTGGCAGAGCATTGACTTTGAAATTTAATTTGTCAAAATTATCATCAATGAGTCATGATCTTAGGCTCTTTCAACTGCACTTAGTAGGGCAGCTTGAGGTACACTAGTAAACTAAAAGTAACCTTGAACTTGATCATCATGATCATAGTCATTTACGCTCTTTAGTATTCAGAAGAAAAAAATAGTATTATTTAAAGCATCGAAAATATCGTAAATTGTCTAGACACACGGTCTATGATAAAACAATTTAGCCTAGACCGAGGGTAATTCTTCTAGACTTGGGCTATCGGTCCTGCATTAATTTCGAACCCTGACATGCTGAAGCAATCATCATGATCATCATTTACAAATTGAAAATATTATATTTTGATCCCTATTTTCTATGAAATACACATAGTTATTGGCATACATGTCATATCTTTTAAAAGATCACTTTCGTACTCATTGATTTATTAATTGTTGCTTGCTCAATGTCCATTGGCAAGTATTTCATACAATATTTAGCTACAGTCTGCACCAAAATCTTTTCCAACTACTAGTCCGAAGATCAATGTTACGATTATTTCTTATGTGTATAAACAAGAATATGCAGATACTTACTAGTCAGAATAATATTTTACTATTCTGGGGCATCGGACCAGTGGCTAACAGTGCAGACTGAAGCTATAGCAATGTATAGGGTGAGAACAAATTAACAATAAACCTTTTTTTAGCAGAGGTCTCAAAAAGTGGTGGTTTTGACCCCTAGAAATTTCAAAGGACTGGATCATCACAATTTTGGTATTTTGAAATGGAAATAATAAAATGGACCAGCAGATTTTCTTCAAGGACCAATAGGGAAAAAAAGATTTTAAGAACTCTGGCTTAATATATAGGTTCTACAAGTGAATAGATCAAGATGAAGGACATAAAGTTTTGATTACCACTGGGAAAGGAGGATATGTTGGATAGATTAAGAAATCATAGTTTGCTTTGCATTGGGTCACCTATAGATTTTAAACGTCCCTATTCAGATAGAAATAATTTTTTTTAGATTATTGCTACCATGATGAAACAGATTTAAAAATTAAAATGATGATATTTTTTTACTAGTTTTTTAGCCTTTTCCTATTATTTCAATTTTTTGGCTGGTGAGTTGATTCAGGCTCTTAGAAGTCTCTTGTTTTATTTTTCTAATTTCAATTCAATTTTTATTCATTTACTTTTATGTCAATTATGTCTTGCCAGGGCCATTACTTACAGACATCCTCAGGTCATTATTATAGACCTTGGGCATATAACATGTATACCAGGATCCATTTATTAATATTATAATGATTTGGTTTTTTTTTTAAGGAATCTGTATTTTAACCCATAAAAAGAATTAACATGATTAAGCTTGTTAAAAAAATATAAAGAAATGTTTTTATCACTTTTAAAATTTAGTATTGAAATTCTTTCTTCCTGAAATTACTTATCATGCTTATTGAGTGCTTTTAAAGATTCTGTTTCATTTTTTTAACAGTTTTAAATTTTAAATGCCCTAATAATCTTAAAGGTGATCTTGAAATCACACGTGTAATCAAAACTAATGTTAAATATTTATCAAGATAATGTCACAGAAATTAGTATTAGTTAAAAGTATTCCATGAATTCCATGATTTTCATGCATATTTTATTTTATTACAGTCTTCACGCTTAACTACAGGCCCAGCAGCCCAGGCTTGTAAAACTGCTTTCAGGCCTGTAAAAATCATCTCTACAGGCCAACAGAATCTAACTAAAATTTTCCAAAAATTGAACTCTGGGCCTGTAGATTTAAAAGTTTATCGTGAAGACTGTTATTATGCTGTATTCATTGTAATAATGTACTGAAATATGGGCCTTTGCCAATTATTGTAATTGTATTTGCATAATGAAAAAAATTAAAGTAATTCCAACCAACACTGATCCAAAGGAAGCTTATCCTATATGACAACAAGGGACCAACACTAATATTAAGTTATGGTTATCTTAAAAGCTTATTATCATGATTATCAGTGCTATATTTAATATTGAACTGAAATTGTCAGTATTTTGAAGAAAACAAAATGTATTATTATCCTTTTTTTTAATTTTCTCTTTGTAGTTAGTAGGAGCTGAAGGCACTGGAAAACATGAATTAGCCAAGGGAATTATTTCTATAGATGAACCTTTTTCTGTCCAAATGTAAGTATGATCACAGTGTAGATATATGTACATGTATTTCTTTTATATACATATAACAATGATAAAATGCAGGAATTAACAAGATTATTGGACAGTACAACAGACAAAACTATTCACCAATACCTTACTCCTCCAAAAAAAGAATATACTAGTAACAAAAAACAAAAATTGGTTCAGATACATGTATATTATCTTGGTACATATATATCATACAGGCATTAAATGTGATGGATTTTAACCAGTTTCATGTGTGCAAGAACCACCACCTTAACCTATCTAGACCCAGTGTTCTTCTCAGAAATTTCTTATATCATCCTGGTAAACAGGAAATTATGAAATACATTTGTACCAAACTATAGCATCACATCCATAACATAATCTATAAGAAACTAATTTCAGATAGCATCACATTCTAGCAATATAGCATTACATTACCATGATGGTAAAACAGGCCCTGGGGAGAACACTGTAAGACCATTTGTTGTAAAATTTAAACATGCAATAAAAAACCTACTCAGCAAAGCTACCAAAAGGACAAATACTAATTAACTTCACCAAGGTAATGAAAGAAGGCAGATAATTTTGAAAGCAGGGTCAAAATGTTCGTATTGCATAAGCAGTTTGTGTGTACAGATTTATTCAATTTGGATGGGTGTGTAGTAGCAGTCAATTAATTGAAATTAATGGTATAAAATTGAAAGTAAATTTATAGTTTACTAGTTCTTGTATCTCTATTTTAGCCGTACTGCCACATGTTTGCCATTGTCTACTGAAGATGAGGAAAGCAGACCTAGGATTGATTTTATATGCTTCATTGTAGATTTGACAAACAGGGAAAGGTAACATCTTTTTTTATAAGATATTTGAAGTAACATGATGAAAGTATTACCGTGTAATCTGTTTTCTTATTCTTTTCCCTTTAACTTTCTGATTACCGTCTATTGGTGTGTATAAAATGCAGTCATGCATAGTACACATCCCCTTTTCGCCCTTGAAACATGAGAAAAAACTTTCTTCTTATGCTTAACATGCAGGGACTTTCTGGAAAAAAACCCAACTTGAAACTTGGTAAAATGCGTCCATTGTAATGATTTCTTTTTGAGAGACAAATTGAACTCCAGTCTTGGATGATTAGAGGATATTGAAAATATTGTTGCAGAATAAATGATTTAGAAAACAATGTTTGATTCTTTATTGTTTCCACGAACAGGGGCGGATCCAGCCATTTTTAAAAGAGGGGTTCCAACTATATGTCCCCATTCAAATGCATTGATCGTCAAAAAAAAGGGGGTTCCAACCCCCGGAACCCCCCCTGGATCCGCCACTGACAGATCTGTTTGATTGAGAACAACAGAAAGTAAAAAACAATGACGGTTGTTATCATCAAACAGGCCCGTTTCATTCAATTTTTCATACATTTACCTGCTGTATTCCTTGTTCATGTTGTTAGAACACAAATAAAAGTAATAAACTCGAGAAACACCTACACTAATTTGGCCATTGACAGAATCCTTCATCTCAAATTTGGACATGATCAAAAGTAACATCTGGGCAGCAACTGAGAACAAACGCAAAAAACAACTACAGTACTGAACATTTAAATGATTTTTATTGGCATATAAGATTACAAATCAGATACAAGAAGGTACAAATATACATGTAAAACATAACAACAATCAAGTTTACACTACGGAAATATTTTCCCCCTGACCACCTAGTTTCTTGGTCGGAATTCGGACCTGATAAAAAGTTTAAAGAACAGTGTAGCCATACAAAATACGCACCCACCTTTTCAGAAAATCTACACCAGGATAAAAACCCGCTTACTATAAATACCAAAAGAGGGTATTGAAAACTAAAAGTCAACACTAGTTCACTTTTCTACTTGTGGAGTAGACCCAGATTGGTAGGGGGGAAAAATCAATAAATTCTACATTAAAAAATATTTATCAACTTTATGAGATTAAAAAAACAACAAAAAGGGGAAGTAATCATGATAGATTCAAGTCAATAACATATAAATCAAAAACTCAATACATGTATCTTTAATTGATTAATAATTATTTGCTTAACAACCAGTTTCAAATATTTCATGCATGTTCAGGAGGAGAACAATTAAAAAATATATGATAGGTAGGTCCTGTTATATAGGCTGCAGGAATGAAGGTTGGGGAAATTTGGACTGCCAATGGAAAATGAGGGTACATGTATATTGGATAGGGACAGATATTTTGCCTCGAAACAGGCCATGTATCATTAATACTAATTGATATAAAATTAAATACAACATGTCAATTAAAATTCATTTTGAATGAAATAGAGGAGTAACCTTCCAAGATAATCTAATTTAAAGCATAAAATGTCAGACAATTTTAAGAATTTATGGTTTTGTTTGGTTATGCAATTATTTGATGCATGTTGATGCTGTAAAGATGAGAACTTTATTATCATGATTATGAATGATGTAAAACTTTATTTCCATAAATTTTATATGAATATTATATAACTTTTGTTCAAATTTTTATGAACATGATTAAAAAGATATATGAGAAAAGTTATGGTCAGCAACGGAAAGGCATGAAAACCACAATACTAAATGATACTGTATCAAACCAAGCTCTGTTGTGCTTAACCTGCTGATCTAGAAATAATGGCATCATACACTGATACATTAGCTGCTGTACTTCAGAAAAGATTTCATACAGCAACATCACAGACAATTCTGTCAAATCTTAGATATCACTGTTAGTAATTGTAAGTCATATTCATTGTATTTAAAGTCTTAATTTAAACATTGAAAATACTGTTCTTATTTCAGCATGAGAGTGGTAGAGGAATCAGTGAAGCATGTAGACCTCAGGTATTTTCTAGGAAGATCTTGTTTTGTGGCTTTGAAAGGTAAATAACTGTAAACAGCTAAAACAGGGCTCACACTACTTCAGAATCATAGGGAGAAGTGACTTCTCTTTTTGAAACTGATAGGGAGAAGTGGTGAGATTTGAAAGAGAAGTGCTCCTTCGCGCGCTGCGCTACAATGTTTTGATTTTACTATAGTATAAAGGGTCATATGTAAATAATGTTCTTTTTATATTGTTTAATTCATATCTGAGTATACAATTAAATTAACAGTTCAAATTCAAAGTTGTTTAAGTTTAGGTTCTTGTGAGAAACTACCAACTAAATATCTAGCACTAAAAAGAATTTTTTTTATGTCAAAAAGGTAAAGAAATTATAATATATGAATTACAATTCAATTAAAAACTATCTTGTTTATCATGTTTATGAAATTCAGTGTTTCTCATCAAAAGATATACAAAGTTAAGCTGGGCCTGCATAATATATTGATGATATTAGTAGTTAAGCAACTTTAATCAATATTTTGAAACAATCCATATAAATTATATGGAATTATATACATTAATCAATTAGATCTAACCAAAAGTCTGTTAATGCACGTGGAATGCGTATTTTTTCCTTTTGGGATCAATATTCTTCTGTCAGCTGTTCCATTCATGTGTCCGTAGTTATTATTGTAAAAATATGGATTTTGGTCATAGCTGGTCCGGTTCCGATCCATAGTTAATTAACGGTTAATGGCGGACGAAGAATATTTACAAAAGTAAACGATGTTTGACAAGCTATTTGGAAAGGAATATGACGTTTTTAATGCTATAAATGGATTAAACATTTACTGGAGGCAACTTTTATCACTTTCAAATGAAGTAACAAACTTATATTGCCGCCGAAAGTTAGATTGATGTAAGCTCTCTGAGTAACAAGTACCGGAAGTGCATGCAGTGACAAAAAGTTGTCTTTTTATTAAATAACCTGCTACACACTGTAAAGTCAATGCTTAAACCTCTTTTCTTAAGTAAATGAATCATTTATGTCTGAATTTCTTTAATAATCAATAAAAAATTGATGTTTTATCAACTTGGTAAAAATTGAAAATGTCCGATGACAAAAGCGACTGAAAGCGAGTATCGTAAACAACAGGGCGACTTGTTTTTGCTTTTGAGTGTCGGGCAAAGCGAAGTGACGGACGGGAAAGCGACTTTTTCGCCCTAGTCGCCTGGTAGCGTGAGCCCTGTAAAACAGGAGGTATCAGGTATTTCCTGTAAATATCTTGCTTTGTGACAATGAAAGATATATGTATAAGACTAGAAATCATGCAGGTATTTATTTGGAAGATGTTTTGTTGGCTAGACATCGGGTATACATGTATGCTAGGAAGATCAGGTTTTATTGCAATGAAGGGTAAAGGTGTTATGTATAGGTATTTCCTGGGAAGATCAGGCAAAGTTGACCTTAAATGGATTTGGCTATTTTTTAGGTTTTTTTTTTTGTCATATAGCTATAGCTCTTCAACTGTTTCGGTTCTTATACATTCGTGGCTTTCAAATATTCAGATTTGAGCGTTCCTGATGAAAGTAGAAAATAGAAAAGCGCTTGGGACACATGAAATTCTTTAATGTGTTGTTTTCATTTTTTATGGCCATGGAGGGTATTAAAAGATGTTGGACTACACAACATCAGGTATTTCCCAGAAAGATCAGAATTTATGGCCATGGCTTCAGGTAAATACTCACTTCACAGAATTTGAGAATATTCTACTATTAGGATCATTTCGTATTCAAAAGTGCATACATAAATCAGAGGCGGATTTAGAGGGTTTTTCAGGGGCCCGGGCCACCCCTTTTGTGGGAAAAATTTGGTTGATTATATAGGGAATCACTGAAGCATGACTGGAGCGGGCCCCCTCTTAGGCAGTCAGTGGGCCCCCTCTTATGAAAATTTCTGGATCCGCAACTGTAAATGTATATGCAAATAAACAAAAAGCCAATGTGTATTTTGTTGAAAACTTAAAATTCATGGCTCTTGAAAATTAGTGAACAATTAATGATAATGAATTCACCACAAATTAACCTTAAGTTCAAAATGTGTGCACTGAAGACAGGTTCCATTGTTAATTGATTTAACACTTATATAGTATATGTATTTTTATTGTAGTGAAAAGTCCAGAGAAGAGAGGAGTTGGCTTGGAGTTAGTTTCTCAGTTCTGTGATCACTATGGTGCTCCTATATTGTATGGAGCACTTGAGGTAATACTATAAAATGATGCACTTAAGAGGAGTTCCTTGAGTACAAAACAGGTGATTCAGTTGAAAAATGCTTTAAGTGATATTTATCCACAATGAATATTGGTGATTGTGGGTGTTTCACTCTAATAGCTCTGTTTATTCAATAAATGTAAATGAACTGATCATGAATCACTCTGTTTCACTGTGATTCACTGAATAACAAGGCCATAAAAAAGAATAGGTTGGTTTGCCCTAACACGACCGACCCATAAAAAAGCACCCGAGTCAAAATCTTTTTTTATTCAAAATTCACGTTTTTTTTATTTTGCGGAGTTTTGTCGTATCCGTATCCGTCTTGAGTTTGTTGCATAGAATAACCTGATCCGATCTGACTGCGCTTTATCACAGGACAATTTGTGTTATGTATTAAAGCCTCCAATTGATACGGATGAAAAACAACATGTTACTGTCTAGTACGAGCTCCTAGTACATATAAAGGTTGGATTAAAATCAAAACCTGTAGTTTCCAACAAATTCTATCGTTTTGAAAACGCAAAAAACATGGAAAGAGGTGTTTGATAAAGTGTGCGATGACGATTTCATGCTACGGAAAACTAATGAAATTTGTGTGACTGTCTCTGACCGATCGGGACACTTGTTTGAGCCCGATTTTGAGGAACCAATAATTTCAAGTTGTTCAGGAATTTGATTCGGCATTAAAATTTGATTAAAATGATATTATTCTGACAGAAGTTCTGTCAACAGTGTTTTGTTCAAGTGTTTTGTATTTGAATTTTGTATTCAAATAAACTTCTTCTTCTTAGTATGAGCCTCCTTTAGTTACGATATGGAAGTAATTACTTCCATGGTTAGGAGAACCTCCAAATATATTATGGAGTTTTTCCTTAACTTAAAAATTTTAAAGAATAAAACAAAAACTTTTTTTCCAACATACATTGTATGTACAGCACATATAAATATAAAACAATAAAAGTATCATGCATGGCATATTTACAGGGACCTTTTTATTAATAATTTAATTTCATTTTCATAGCTTTTAATACTTGTCCACTGCTTCTTTACATTTCTTACAATTGTTATATGACAGACTCTGTGTCGGTATATATATGTCACTTATGATAATCACTATTTTCATTTGTTTGTCATTTCCTCCATTTTGAGATATATGTTTTCAATATTTTCCTGGAAGTTTTCACAGTTATCAAACAGCTCCTTATATATTTTGAACAGTCTATAAGCAATTGTACTATCGCAGTTTTGTTCGTGAAGGTGCAGTTCCATTTTGTTGGTGTGATTTTATCAGTGATCTCTGTTCTTATTTCAGGGAAATATTTTTTATCTCGTAGTACTGAGTATAAACTCATTTAAAATGCTTGTCTGTATTTACAATGTAAACATTCAGAAAAAAGTGTGAACATTGAGGTGGAATGCTGAAAAAAACTGTTAATAGAAAAGATCTTTATAGTACATATAGATCCTGGCATATATGTGTGTGACAATTTATACAAAACTCTATAATAGTCTTTAATTTTAAAAGTTGTTTACAAGGTAAAATAATTTGTTCACCTATTTTTCTCTAAAAGTATAAAAAAAAAGAATTTCCCTACCTACCTACCCACACCTGATACTGGTGGGTAGGGTTTGGGCAAATAGAAATATTTTTAAGTCTGGCCCAAGAGAGATTTTCAAATAAATCAACTTGTGTATACTGTAAATAGAAATACAGCTCTAGTTTTGACATCCAAAATAGTGCACAAGTTGGTATAAAGTTTTTCATTAAGTTACTCCTCATTACTATCATTTTCTTGTATGAAAATAACTTGAAATTTAGACACACAAAAAATGCATCATCTAAATCATGCCACCATCAAAGCGCTGACTACTGGGCGCTTGGTACTCTTGGAATTGATAGTCCATCAGATATGTTACCAGCCTATAGCTTGTGTTAGTATAACAACAAATCCTAAGACCAAATTTAGGTCATGTAAACAGCATTTTTTACAATTTTTCTGGATACCATATTCTAATGTCATCCTGCCAATCGATTTTTAAAAACTGATATTTTAAGCTAATCTCCAGCTGATATTGATGAGGGTCTGGATGGGGTTTACAGAATAGAGAATAATGGGCAAAAAGTGCAGAATAAATGGCTAAAAACATAAAGAACAGAGAAAAAAGGCAAAACAAATAAAGAATAGACAATAATGGGGTGCTGAAATATAAAGAATAGAGAACTATGGGCAAAATAAATAAAGAATATAGAAAAATGGTCTAAAAATTTAAAGAATAAAAAAAAATGAACACCTTCATTGATAGCCACAACAAATCTTGTCAAAAAGGAGAAAAATTTTGCTCTGATAAAGTTATATAAGTATTATTTAAATGTTCAATTACAATCATACATGTAGCTAGTCAAAAATGTGAATATATTTTGCTCTTTTTTTCCAGACAGATCAAGAAAAGATAACTCTTGCAAAACAGATTCTAAACATGGCAAAAGTATCAGCAGGATTAGTGAACAATATTTCACCATTGTTAATAGACTCCACCAGAAGACCATATGATACACAATTATTATGATGATATACAATTATTTTAGAAACTGATCATGACTAGAAAAAATTGATTTCTGAAAATAATATTGAAGACTTCTGATCATCAACATGGATGGATATTGAAATTGATTCTGCAGTAACAAAAACATTTATAAAATGTCAAGTTTTTGTTCTTAGTATGGCGAAATATTATATGTTGCATATCCACACTATGTAAACAGTGTCTTGTATGAAATGCCCGCCAAGGGTATCTGGGGAATAGAAATATGGTATCTTTGGTCTTCTTCTGACTGACAGTAAAATCCTTGCCAAAGTGTGATTTGTCTGTTTAGCTGTGCGGGATGTACACAGCCACATCCATATAGAATGGGGATGTTTAATCCGATGCCTGGTGTAAAGAGAGTACAATGCTCTCTGCATGTTAAGAACCCTTACAACAACTCTTTGAGGGTTGCATAGGTTGCCTGCTGTAAGGCCCAATTTCTGTCCCTATCCAATATACCCTCATTTTCCAGTGGCAGTCAAAATTTCCCCAACCTTCATCCAGGACAGCCTCAAATACAGAACCTTCCTCTTGTATTTATTGTTAATTTGTTCTTGTCCTGAACATGCATAAAATAGTTGCCACTGGACATTAAGCAACCAATAATCAATCAATCCTCAATGAAATGTTCTTTCCCGTTCTTGGGTGTACTGTGACTTCCATTTTCGAACATCCAAGGGAAAACAAATTCTACAAGGCACAAAATGCAGATTCTTTGTGAAACCAATGAAAGTCAAATGAAAGCAACCCCACATTTTGTCTCTACAGGCACATAAAGAATTTGGCAATTAATCATGTTTGTGAGCCCTCAATTCCCCATAACCTTAGATATTTATTTAACAGCAGAAAATGAGACCAAACAAACTGCAATATCAGCCAAATAAAACTAAACCGACACCAAGCACTTACACAATAAATAAAAGTTACTGAATTCAATGAACTCACACCATCCAAAAAAGATAACCAAAGCTCAATTTCAAGCAACAAACAAACCATGTTTTCCAAAATATCAATCATTACACCTAAAACTTCACAGGCAGTTCCAGAAAAGCATGCTCTTGTGCTAATCATTGGTGATCAATGACGTAACAAAATATATTTTATTGAATCAACTACATTTTAGGTGCATACTGATGTCTTGTTTGTAATGATACTTGCTCCATCATATTTAGCTCACTTCTATGATCATACACATATTTTTCCTCCCAACTTTTACAAATTTAACAGTTCATTTCTGCCTTTTTCACTTAACGACTCTCCAGCTTCACTTTAATGCCATGTTTTGCTCTCATTACAAGTTCAGGATTTATATCATAGTTGTGTCCTTCGACCAGCTTTACTTTGTATCTGAAAACAATATATATCTATATGATGTACAACAGTGAAAGATTTTCAATAAACTTTGTCATACCACCAAAAAAGAATTAGTAACCAAATGGCTGTTCTATACGCATGAATAGGCTATGTATATATACATGTATCAATAAATAGTGTGACAGTCATTTTGTATAACTTTTGCCATGACAAATTTTGCTTCAAGAAACGCAACATTTCTTTGAAATATGATGTAGTTCTGAAAAATATATCATTAAATACTGTGCCACAGTGTTTTCAATAACCTTTTCCTTTTCACAAAAATAGTTTCAAAAACAAACAACAAATCAGTGAATTGCTTATGTGATTCATTTTGAGTATGTTTTAATCTAAATAGTGTGCCTCCAATTGAGGTACCACATAATATTTGCCGCTGGACGTTAAGTAGTTGTAACAAAAAAAAACGAAATATAAAAGTTTGTTTACAACAAATCAGAAATTATTGATCAAATATTAGTTTACTTTGGTATTTTATACTTACCTATGAACCAACCTGCCAATAACTACTTTTATTTCATTCATAGCAAAATTCTGTCCAATGCAATTTCTGTAATTGGAAAATTTTGAGATATTTAGAAGTTTTGCTTGTAAATGCACTTAGTCTCCAAATTGTTTTAATTTGAGCCATACTATAAAAGGGCTTTGCGTAGCTGATGAAATTTTTTATCAGACATACTCATTTATGAGGCCCTCATGGGGTGTCCAAGTAATCACATAATCACAATTTTTTTCCCAATATAATCACATAATCATTAATTATTTCTTTAAAAACGGTAATCAAATAATTAAAAACACAGTCCTAGATTATCAAATAATCAAATAATCATGAAGTATTTGGTCTGGTAATCAAATAGCACTATAAAAACGGCCAAGTAATCACATAATCAAAAACCCCATGAGGAGGCTCATTTATAAGATGGTATCAAAGACTGTGATCCGTTATGTCTTGATGTGTTATGCAATAGAGGGAGCCATCCCGAAATAGTGGACGCTTAATTTTTAACACTCATTTTAATAAAGGTCTGATACCTCAGTGTCAGAAAGGAAATTGAGAACAAAAATTATATAATTTTTGATTAAAAAAAAATGTTTAAACTTGATTGAAGGAACATGATGGAATGCATGCATTATTGTTTCTTTCGAAATACAATTGAAGTTTTGTTGTTGTCTCAGTGATAGAACTTTAATTTGTTGACACAAAATGCTTACATTACCTTGGGCCAGCAGCAAACGGAACAAAACTGTATGGATGTCTTTCTGTTATATCGTTTTGAAGAAATCTCTCTGGTTTAAACACCTACGATACAATATTTATATGTATGTTTTCATACTTAAATGTTGAATATAATATTTTACTTTTTGTTAATAAACAAGAACTATATAGAAGTAATTTCTTGAATTGTTTAATATTTAGGCCTCTATTAGCTCACTATATGTTATAGGTTTTGCTCATTGTTAAATAAAGGCAACAGTAGTATACCGCTGTTCGAAATTCATAAATGGATTGAGAAAAAACAAATCCGGGTTACAAACTAAAACTGAGGGAAACACATTAAATATAAGAGGAGAACTACGACACAACAGAAACACAACATTAAAATGTAACACACACAGAAACGAACTATAATATAACAATGGCCATTTTCCTGACTTGGTACAGGACATTTAAAGAAAAAAATGGTGGGTTGAACCTGGTTTTGAAATTGTGGCTAGCCAAACCTCACACTTTTATGACAATGTTAAATATAACACTAAAATGACATCATTACATGACATTAAACCTGTTGTTGTTCCCATCTACCGTAATTTTCACCTTTCTATAAAATGTCTGTATATACGCGATATACTATACACCATTCCTTATCACAGGCGCTTGGGTATATGATACAGAAATTTTTTTTAATTTTTTTTTTGTTGATTAAAATATTCAATTTTCTATATTGTTTCTTAGTGTGGATAGTAAAATGGGGGTTTGTCTCAAAGTTGGTAAAATCACTCGAAACTAGGTGAGACATGCGCAGTAGTGATAGATATGTAGTATAAATATAGAAAATTGAATATTTTAATCAAAAAAAAAAAAATTTAAAAAAATTTCTGTATCATATACCCAAGCGCCTGTGTTCCTTATATCTTAATAAAAGGAATGACCCCACATGGTAAACATTTTTATCTGCTGAAATTTTAATATTGACAAAAGTTAAATAATCCTTGTATAAATCAAATTTAGATACTGCATACAAGTATGTGATAATTAAAACACATAAAAGGGTCATGATATGAATTTGCCATGAAATATATGTACGGATATTGGTTTTGAAATCCAAGATGCACGTCTGTAAAAATCACATGTTGTCTTGCGAAACCCTATGGTTGTATTATTGGCAAACCATAAATATATATCGACAGACCAAGTAACAATGCAAATTTTCTATAATGGAAGGAAGCTCCGATTTTCAAATTCAGACAACAATGAAAGAATGAACTAAAATGCGGGAAGGTCTATTAACAGGACAGATAAAACCAGGACAGTTATTTTTGATACGTTACAAAAATTTTAACTGTCCTGGCAGATTTTTTTTTTACTTATTAATTTTTTATTTTTAAAAACTTATAATGTAAGTAAATATCGTGTTCTTTATACAGTTTAAATTTCAACAACATGTTGAGTAAAACAAAAGTTGTACAGATGAAAACGTATCGAAAATAACTGTCCTGTTTTTTAGACCTTCCCCTAAAATGCTTCATATACGACAGTTATAAATAAATAGTGATGTTAAAGATATGAAATGATGATGAATGACTGGTTAGCGTCAAGCGGCAAATTAGTATGCATATTCAGGACGAGAACATGTTTATGATGAATATTAACCCTGCTTTGTATTAGATCGACACGCTGATTTTTAACGTGCTAGTTCACAAGTTAAACAGTCCGCAGAAAGATATCTCCTTACCCGCACACATTATTCGATTTGCATTACTCTGACTCTGAGCCGACCAGTCTGCTCTTGCTACTTAATGCCGCGTGCATAGCGGAGAAGCAGCAAATAGACTACCAATTTTAAAGTATTTTTGTTTGACGGCCGGGGTTCGAACCCACGACCTCCCGCACTCGAGGCGAACACGAAACCACCGAGGCGGTCTGAAGGTTATGAACAAACTATTTTAAATCTACTATCAAGACTGATAAGCTGCAACAAAAAATAAAAGGTTCCGAAACGGCAAATAGTGTGATGTTATATAAAATGCATTTTCTTATAGGGTTTAAGGAAATAATTTGATTAAAAAGTGTGTTGGTCAGTGGAAAACCATGGTCTATATATAATTTTATTACATTTATTGCAGTGAATTACCGTGATTTCCCAGTGAAATAAAAACCGATAATTCCACGTGAAATAAACTTTGATACTTTCACTCCTCTGACGTCATATAGGCGTTGTCGACGACGTTGCATCAAAACAAATTGTGAATGCGCAGAAAAAAGATATAGTTCCTTCTTCCTTCTATTTTCTACTTTATTTCCATTAAAATACCCATAGTCAATGTAATAAAAAGAATACCTTATCAAAGAACTCAAATATCGAAAATAATATTCAATTCGTGACCGAACAATTCTGATAATTAACTCATGGGCTACGCGCATTCGTGAACTAATGTGTTGTTCGGTCACTCGTTGAAAATTTTTCGATATTTGAATTCCTCGATTAGTTATTCTATAAATCTGCAATTTGATATTGTACAATACTTGGATAAGTTAAATCCCAACTAAAATCTAAGAGGAAAGTATGTGGAGCGTAGATATGGCACAACATGCTATTTTTTATGTTTTTCCATGGCTAAAGTTCCACCGCATTTTCTGTTATTATAAATAGTACTTATTATACCTCATGTTCCTGCCAGACATCAGGATGATGGTGAATCATGTGTTGATTAATATCTACATTTACACCAGCGGGTACAACTACGTCACCAAACGTCATTGGAGATGTAAGCTGTCGTGCGCCCATTGGAACAGGTGTGAACATTCTCATCGATTCTTTAACAAAAGCTGTCAGATATGGCATTTCTTGAAGATTTTCCCTGTGAAAATACAATTACATATGTGGCTCCAACATGGTTAAATCCGACCTGCGGCCTTGCGTTTTTTTTTTAAACATAAACCTATCAAATTTGCTTAAAATGGCCTGTTGACCTGAGATAATTATCAAACGTGACGGTACCATGCTGGAGCTCCACATATGTACAGTCCACTCACTGTAAAACTCTGCAGATTTAAGTTATGAAAAAAAATAAACTACTCTATTCAATTTAGTATATGTAATCTTTTAAAGTCCGTCATCCAGATTGGATATCATCACTGGTTAGACAATGCTAACCACCGATAAGTTTTGTACTTATACATGTATATGTTTTTCATTTCGATAGTAATCACACTAAAACAGAGACTAAGCTATCTCCTGACCTCGGGGTTTCACTTGATCCTTTTTTCATTATCACATATTCTCTGACAATTGCAAAATTTTTAATTTACCGTCACCATCAATCCATTTAGATATATAAGAAACATATACATTCG